ATATATACATGTACATACATATATATATTCTAATCATAATATAGTTTGATTATATCATGCATCCTTAAATAGATTGATTATATCATTCATATATCCTTAGAAGTTGCATCAAATTCTTAATTTTTCTTGTCATCTGAAATATCATATTCCTTAAATAACTACTCAATTAGTCATTATATTTCAAAAATAGTTTAAATAATTTCATGAAATCTAAGCTTGCAATTATAATTATTGTCCAGCAATATTTTAAAGCTCATTTTTTCTTTTTATCACAACTTTTTCGATCTGATTTCTTTAATCAGAAATAATTACATTTAATCTAATACTGTCATAATACTTATGAATATTTTTATTGTCGAAAAATAGTGTACCATTGAGATAAGGAATAGAGCGCTGCTGTTAATAATGCACCTTGAATTTTTATTGCTTCACCTGACGATGACAAAGATCGCTACGATTTGAAAATAAAGTAGACCTGTTTTCTGGTCTTAGTTTGAAGAATTTTGGTGAAAGTAGAGAGAAAGTATGGGAGAGAGAGAGAGGGAAAGAAAGGAAAAAAGAAAGTAATATCAAGGACGATGCTGCGAGGAGTTCCGGTAAAAAGTGTTGTTTTCTCTGAAGTGCTTATTCCAGAACGGTAAGAGGGAAAGGAAAAGGTAATTGATAGAGCGCTTATTCCATAAAACAAGTTATTAATTGGAATAAGATGAAGACATGGAAGAGCAAAGGGAAAAAGAATCGGAGCAAAGGGATACAATAACAAAATATATCTTAGGAGTGAACAGATAGAGAGAGGAAGAGAAAGGAGAAACTCTTAAATAATAAACACTAATGTATCAAGAAAAAGAAAAAAATAAAAGGTATAACATCACCTATGAGAACCACGAAAGTGGCAGTAAAATTATTAAGTCCCAATAAGATAGTATCATATCTCTTCTTTCTTTCTCTTCCCCTCTTCTCTCTCCATGAATCTTTAATTCGACAATAAAGTTTATAAAAAAGAAAAAATTAAGATAACATTTTTTTTTTCAAAGTTCCAACAAGAAATAGTGCATTTTTTCTCGTTACAATATCATCTTATTCATTTTATTCTTTCCTCTTTTACCAATCAGCTAAGAGAGAGAGAGAGAGAGAGAGAGAGAGAGAGAGAGAGAGAGAAGCATACATTATGTTGGCAATTAGTAGAAGAGAATGGAAAATCCAGAAGAAAACCGGTTTTGTTTTCTTAATCTTCGATGTGAGTCTTACATAACTCAATCCGAATAACAACTGGTTAGTAAGAGGAGGTATTCATTGCTTCGCAAATTCGAAAACTGAAAATTGCTTTCTGTTTCATCGCTCCAAACTTTCCCTTTCAAGAAATAGAATGCAAGTAGAAAATGCGAAAAAAAATGTTGTAGATAAGCACCTGTAATTATAATTCAGGATATCATATTACTGAATAAATGTTAAAATAATGTAGATTCGGGAATCGGAACTCTAAGTGCTTCAAATATCATAAGGTGGAAATTATTTTTTCTCTTGGTCTTATATCCTTTTAAAATTTCAACTTTGTAGTAAAATTTTACATCTAATCTAAGCAACTGTACTGAATTGAATTTTTATTCAACGTTTTGACGTGTGAAAATGAGATATTGTGATATATATAGTTACTTTAAAATTTTTTATATAGTTAATTTAAAGATTTTTATTTTAATTTATCATTCATTTGAAAATAAAATGGTAGTAGAAATGCTCAATGTTCTGTAAACAAATTTTGAGCAAGAAGAAAGGAAAGCGTTATTTGAATCTACTAACTGATAAGAAAAAGCTGAGGAAATGGATTGATTTTCAATTATGTTGTCTTTGATGAAATGGTTGAATGGGATGGATGGACGGATAATCATGGTGATGATATTAATTATGATAAGCTGATAAGAATTGAATTATCATGTGGAATAGAACAAAAATAAAAGAGTACAGCACATTATCATTATCATTCTCATCATTGTCATCATCCATTCTCATCATCATCATCTACATCTAATCATCAATCCCATGCAAACATATAAATTACTGTAGCTAATTCACCACCTTACAAGACAAACATTCTATTTTAATGGAGACGAATAAGAAGAGATGTGAGCAGGAATGAGACAAAGTAAGCTTTGGATCAAATATTTGTTTGTCGTCTGCCATAAAGTGTTTAAAACACTTTGATGCTATTTTTGTTCACATTATATAAAATAATGTGAAAAAGAGGAATATTTTTGTTATTAATCGTTTCCTAATAAACATATTGGAATTTTTATCATTTATTGAATTGATAAATTTCATTCAAATAAGTGATATTGGATTGATAAGTTATAAATAATCGAATGTAGAACAATTCGTTAAATTCCATTTTATAAATCCAATAAGATATTGATTGAAATTTCAGTAAGTGTTATTTTTTTGTTTTCTATAATTCTTATACAAAACTAATAACTTCTAATTTTATTTTTCAGTTAGAATAAATATATCAAAAATTGCAGGTTTGGTGCAGGTAGCAAATTGGAAAGCGTTGCCATTCGATCAGATTACGGATAATTTAGACGATACGGTGGAATCGTTGCTCAAAGATATCAGCAATCATATCACTCTTAAAATTTTAACTAAACAGTTCGTCATTATTATTTTACGATTCTTGAAAGAGTTTAAAAGAAAATACTTCACTTTTCTTTTTATTGCCAGAACATGTTTTCGCCTGAAATTTTATGATAATTATTAGACTGTTGCTTCTTCTTACATCTTCTCTTCTAACATAGGCTATTATCAGTTATTGCGACTAATAATGGCTAGAAAAAATAATCCAAATACACCGAAAAAATCTTGACTTTGTGAAGTATCACTTCATGAAGTTTGTTGTTGCTATGCCAGATTTATCAATTGGATAACTGAATTATAATCCTTATGTTCTGACATTATAGTTTAGTTTAACGAATAGTTAAACTATCAGTGAAAAATAAATTCGTAAGAGTTAAATCTCAGACAAATATTATTTATTATTGTTGATAATATCTTAGAGAATTTTTACTTGGAAAGGTTACAATTAGCAAAGAATTCAACATTCATTAGATGAAAATAAATAAAATAAATGATATGTGTTAAATTTATGGCTTCATCGATCATTGAGAATGATCATTTCTAAATTTGTTTAAGCATTTGTTTGCTAAAAGAGATATCGATGATATTTAAAAGAGATAAGAGAATGAAGTTTTATGGGTGGCAATAATGGTTTATGTATGTTAGTTCAGTGTGGTAAATTCATCATCATATTTGAGATGAGAGGAAGGAAAGTATCTCAAGACAAGATCACCATGAAAAGAGGAGACAAAGAAAGGTGTATGTATGTTTTGGGGAGGGAAAAGAGATAAGCCTATGTTAGCCATCTTTCTCGTGAATCATCTCATCAAACCTTTTTCCATTCTTCTTCTATCCATGGACACTTTTTAGGCAACCACAATCAATGCTAAAGCTTTTGTTCATCGCGCGGCTAAATACAAAAGAAAAAAAGAAATCAGATCGAATGATTTTACATTGGCCGACATTTATCAAAATTGTTTATAATAGCAAATAGCAGGCCATTTACGCAAACTAAGAATATAAAGATAAATAGTAATATGCAAATATTTCTATCATTTCCCATTTGCTGAAATTTTACTTTAGTTAAGATGGAAGGAGAAGTATTGATTGATTGATTGATCGATAGTGAAATAGAGAATTTTACGATTAGATTTAACTGAATAAGCCCTTCCAGCCAGCTCTGTTTCGTCCCTTTTTCCAATGCATATAAACTGTAGCACATACATTCCTTATTCACATAGCAAATGCAAATATCATCGGAGTAAGAGCACCTAAAGGGTTTTTCTCTTTCTTCAAGTTATCGTCATCATCATCATATCATTCCAAGAATGGAAAAACCATTTATTCACTCATTCATTCATTCATTCCGTTCATCCATTCATTCATTCCGTACATTCTTCATTCATTCCGCTCATTCATTTCATTCATTCATTCATCCATTCATTCATTTCTATCCATCCTGACATTAGCATACAATCACTAAATTCTTTGCTATGATCATAAAAAGATGGAAGCATTTATGCTATTTATTGTTTGATGCCGTTCTGAGAGTTTCGAGAAACTACTGGAAATTATCGATCATTCGAAAATTTCCATAATTTATTGGTGACAATCTTTGAAGTTAGAAAAAGAATATTTACATGAGAAACAGCGTAGAAAAAATAATTCATAAATTTATTTAGGTTTTTAAATATTATTTCTTGAAGTGTTCATGTGGTTTGAGGAGTTTATGGGACTTTAAGAATTCTTAAAAAAGTTAAATCAATCAATAATTATCATTCTATATAATTATATAATAGCTTTATTTTTAATTCAAGAGAGAATAAAAATATAAGTAATTAACATTCGTTTTTCTAAGTTTTAATTGTAAGAGAAGAACAATTTAATTGCTATTTCATATATAATTTAAATTTATTTTTCATGAAAAAAATAAAGTACTAAAAAATGAAAGACATGAAATTTTAGAAATAATTAATAATTAAATTAAAGAAAAATGATACTACAGATCATCAACAGATGCATCGAGTTCACAATGTATATCGGATCTCAGGCAACGTCTTCTCAAAGCAGCCATTTCAAAGCAACCACACATCCTTTCTACTGTTGATAATCAACAAATTAAGGTTAAATTAATTGCCATAAAGGATATATTTCACAACTGTAAAGTATTCACTTTTGTCTTACTGATAAGAATAGCATATGGTAAGTGATTCACTCCTGGTAATTGCAAATATTTCGAGATTTCGCCTTATCAATAAAATTAGTTTTGTTGTGTTATTTTTTGCAAGATTAACTGCTAAAAGTTTCACCAGTTTCAGTCTAATTTCATAACCTTGTTCTCATCGTTTATCATCCAATTTTATCATTTCAGGATCTGATATTGCAAGTAGTAGCCGGTGATGAGCCATCAATGCTCAATTTTGATCAAATCCAAGCGATTAATGAGTGGTTGGAACAGCTGGATGATAATCACACCGATAGAAAAAGGTTACATTTTGTTTTACTTCCTCAAATGTATTGGCTATTTAATAATCATTATGATCTTAAAGATGGTGTTGGCGCACTATTCCAGTGATAAAGAGATCTCTTTACCTGGTTTACTCTGTGATAAGTAATACCTTTTTGCTGTAGCAATAATTAATTTGCTAATCGCGTTATATCATTTTGCCAGTTAGTTTTATTTTTAATGAAAAAGATTTCACCTTAAACATATAATATTTTTACGGATATCCTTTCGGAAAATAGCGACAAATTATTTTTTATATCCAGTCATAAATATTCTCCTATTAAGCAAAGTGTTTAATGTAAAGCTGTCTTCAAGAGAAATTGATTTTAAAGATTTCTAAATATCAAAAAGTTTATTTTTCGATGAGTCATAGTTCATGAAAATTCATTCAGAATTTTTATTACCTTGAGAACAAAAATTTTTCGAAATATGCCTATTGTTTTTTGCAAGAAGAATTTTACATCTTCTTTGATAAGCGACAGATTAAATATTTCTCGGCACTTCGAGAGAATATACATTGATTATTTTGAGGAATAAATTTAATGAAATTATTAATCTATCCTCCATTTTTTTTGAATATTAGTAAATATTATTTTTGAAAAAATTTCAAATCTCTTAATTGGTTGTTTTATCGTCACTTTTTACTTTCTTAATTTTAACCTTCTGCTTATCATTTTCACAACGGATATTATGCATTTTCAGCAATTTATACATCATAATCTCATGTAAATGTCTGCATACTGTCAAAAATTTGCAGCTGTTTCCGGTTCTAACGATCGCTAAAATTCACATCCTTTAATAAAAAGCTGAACTAAAGAGATTTAGTTGAAATATAAAATTACCCACATCACATATCAATATAATACATCCATATATAAATGAGGAAATAAATAAATACAATAAATGTATATAATATATAAATAGAAATTAGCGATCATCACAAATCTCAATACAGCTGGCTAACTCTTCATATAATGACAGTTTTCAGAATAATTTAAAAATGATTCATGCTTGTTTTAAATGAAGTAATAATGAAATGAGGGAAGTTAAAGATTAAAATATCAAAGAATGATAAATAAATAATCAATTCATCGCCAACTCTTTCATTCATCACAAAACATTTACTATTATTTCATCCTTTCTTTAAAATGCATAAATTATTTATGAACTTATTGATTTGTTAATTTTTTTCTTTTTTACTCTAACAAATGCATTTTGTTTTATTTTTAATAGTTATTAGTTAACTAAAAGGGATAGTAAAAGAAAGGGAAAGGGGAAGAGAGGAAGAGAAAGAGAGAGAGAAATTTTGGGAAAGTTTAATGAATGAAAATAAATCAAAGTTTTTGTTGAAAGGATTGAAAGGAAGGATTTTTTTTCTCTTTTTACAGTATGCATTTAGGATTTAAGTGTCGACGAATTGTGTTCGAAGCACTTAAGCTTAGGATAGCTTGCTTACTGGTTGAATAGCTATTTGTGAGAGCTAAAGGTTAGTCGAACTACTGATGATGATGATGAGAGAGAGAGTAGATGATTAAGGTAGGGAAAGAGGTGAGATTTGTTGTATACTTTGTTGATTTAGAATTAAGAAAAGGAAAGGAGAAAATGAGAGGAATCTATCGTCGAATATATGCGCCATGCGCAATTTTATTCATCTCAAATAAGCTACGGATTTCATTACTTAATTTAATTTTTTTTCTGGCAAATAGTGCAAAAATGGTAAATTTAAAATAATGCTAAACATATCTGATGATATTCTCTTAGTGAATAATATTTTATGATTAGATGCGGAATATACGGCATTAGCTGATATTGCTAAATTTAGACTAAACTTAATAATATCATTAGCTTTCTTTATTATTACAATTTTGATGATTGATTTGATTACTAAATTTGAATAATCTTCAAGGAAACATTTATTGTATGTTGTAGAAGAACGCATCAAAGATTTCTTCTTCTTCTTCATATACACCAAAGTTGAAATAGTTTTTTTGTTTTGTTAATTTGATGCATGCGAAGTTGGTTTGAAGGTGAATTACTAGCTCTCTAAGCTTTTTGCAAAACTGCCATTCTCACACATTATTTCTACAACCAACCATTTTTCATCATCTACAAAGAGAAAGAGAGAGGAGGAGAGAGAGATGCACAAATTTATGCATCACATCTATTCATCCATCCATTCATCCATCAGCACTATCACCATCATTATCATCACCATCACTATCATCATCAACATTACCAATCAAAACTATCAAGCAAACTTCGTTGCTTTCGATCCCAATATGGAAACCATTGAATTGGTTGAACAAATTTTGCAAAACTAGGGAATGACAGTTTTTTTTGTTTTGTTTGCTATTATTATTATTGTTGTTGTTGTTGTTGTTGTTAACAATTTTAGTTCGCTTAATTCTTTCTGTTTCCTCTTCTCTTCATATTTCACTGATCGAATGATTTTATTGCAATTTGGAGAATGCATTCGATCATAAAAAAGAGCAGCTTTTTTTTCAATTAGTATTCTCTGGAATGATCATCTCTTCAATTATTTTTGGTTCATTGCATTAAAAAAAAGAATTGATAATCGTATAATGGATTTAAATCTATCACAAACTGGTTTTGATTATTTTTTTTAAGTAGCATAAATTTACTTCTTGAAATTTCGGCTTGAAAATATGAAATTCATAAAGTTTGTGATATCTGCTGAGACAAAAAAAGTTATTGAAGAAATTAGATAAGAATCGAAATTTTGATAAGTGAATATGAATTGAGGATTAAGAACCGGTTTCATTATAAACTTGTCCGATTTATTTCCTCCTTTGATTGCTTTTTGACTTTAAAATCTGCAACCCAGTTTACGTAATTCGAACATCGTGTGATAAGCATTGAATTGTAAAAATTTATGAAAGCAGAAAATGATAGAGGTCAATTTTTTCTTCAGTCTACATCAAAATTACAAAAAAATCGAATAGCAAAATATCATGCATTATTTTGTAAACATAACTGAGATTACACCCAGTTCTAAACATGCGAAATGTAAATAAACGTATCATGAGTAATTATAGTTTACGGTTCAGAAAAAGTTTTAGTACGATTTAGTAAATTCGAACTTTAGCACCGGAATTTAGGAAGCGGCGAAGCTATGGAGCAATGGGAAAGATATGATGGGCGAAAGATAAACAATCAGATGCGTGCATTTATCAATGATACGTGAAATCGTTTTTTCTGAGAAGTATAAGTTTTGACTGATAAGTCACCTTTAAAGATTAGCTTTCTGCAAATTATGAGTATTATCAAATTGTTGTGGATCTTTTCCACATTAATAAATCAGACATTGTGGTAGTTAATGATAAGTAGAACACTCTAATATCAGCAATTTGCTGCTTTAACCTCTCTCTTTACTATTATTGTAATTAATGATATCATTCAATCAATTGATTATCATCGATACACATCATCTTTCTCCTTCTCTCTTCCACTCTAATTTCATTGTTTCATTTCATTTCCTTTCCTTTAGGGTAAATTGCACAATATTTATAATCACCTGAGGAGCGAAGCCAATTGAGTTGATTAAAACTTGCTCAATCAGCTCTGTGTCGTCTGCTTTCGTCCTCCTTTCACTGTACCCTATCATCGTTTACTTCCGTTGCAATAAAAAGGGTTAACCAGCGGAGTTCGAGCAAATGAAAAATATCGAAGTGAGGAGGGAGAGACATCGTATCAAACATTGATGCGATTCGCGATCGTATCATAAAAATGATCCAACTAGACGAGGCAACCGATCACAGAGCAATCTCTTTTGATTTGGCGCTAGCGGCAGTAAATGACTTTCTTTCAATGCAATACGAAATTTTACCAATAGAAGAAAAACAAACAAAATTTGCGAGGGCCATTAAAATTAAGAGGAAGAGGAGGAGAGAGAGAGAGAAAGAGGCTAAAAGTTGTGGGAGTAGATTGTAGGAAAGAGCGGAGAGAAAGTGAAAAAAAAATGGATCCGAGAGATTGCAAGTCATGTAAACATCACAGCGTAATTTGTCGATAAGAACCAGTTCTTATAACCTTGCAGAAAGTTTGTGGATAAAAGAGAGATTTAGCAAAAGCGCTTTTTTAACATTTATTTTCGAACTGAAACTAATCATTAATGATAAGTGAACAATGAACTTCTTTAATGATGCAAATTTGCAATCAACAAAATAAATAAACAAATATTAAACGAATAAATAAATAATTAATGTTATAACCGGTTAGCTGATGAATAACAGATAAAATGATAAGACATAAATAGTTGAGTAATAAAAGTTGATTATTATTGTTTGTGAAATTAATCATTATTTTCATCAATTTTACGCTTCATTTATTTGAAAAGCTTAATCAGTCAGGCATTTCTATAGCAAAAGAATTGAATTTAACGTATTTGTAAATGTAAAATTAAATTCTAAACAGTACTGTTATATTGGAAAGATGGAAAGCAGTTTGTGTAAACTTATAAAATCACGAAGAACGAGGTTAGGTTGAGGATGGATTTATGATGATGGCTTTCTAGCCAAATAGGATTATCCATCGCCGTATGGTTATCGATGTTTATATTGGCGATATTCACTTTCCATCTATCCTTCATTTCCCGGCATTCGATTTTGCTTTTGCTGTTGAATATTTGAGATTATAAAAGGGATTTGAGAGGTTGAGGGACCACTTAAATATTGAATCCAATTGAGCATCAAATATAGCAACTAGAATAAATTTAAATTTGATACGGACAATTGATCGAATTTTCAACAACAGATTTATGAGGGTTTTATAACTAGTAAGTGGAATATATGTAATCAAATATGTAGTCATAGATATTCGATATAACATTTGAAAATAACTGATCGAAATTTTCATCAAAGAGGGATAGTACGCCAACTTCTCTCTTTTACGCCTTTCTTACTGAAATAATTACAAAAGGATATTTTTCTCTAATAGAATTATTTAAATTTATTTCGCAATATGGGAAACTTGAATTATCAGGTTTGGAGTTGTTTTTGCTGAATGGAGGAGTGAGCAAATAATTGAAATCGTTACAGTCCATACATCACAAGGTTCAATCATCTATTGGAAATACCAAAGTTGGAACGATGGTTTCGTATCGATCCCAATCCATCCCGGCAGAAATTGATTAATTATATGAATGTACTTAATGGTTCCAGTTATCGGCGTCATAATGTTAAAGTAACATATCATCAAATCTGCAACTGGTTTGCTAGTCAACGAGCTGCTAATAGGTATGGTATTCTCGTTCCTAAACTTACATTTTGAATGAATAAAATTATTAAAAGTTGGAAAATTTTACCACTGTAATTGATTTGTGAAAACATTGAAGAAACTTGCATAATATTAAATTATATTATAATCATTCATAATCAATCGATAAATTGAAAGTGATTATTTTAATAATTGGAATATAAATTTCTTTTTGAAATATGTCGGATAAAAAATTGTGCAGTCAATGGAAATTAACATATTTAAATAATCATGGCTCCTGACACATTATATCGCTGCAAGTTTTTTATTCCATTACCTTGTTTGCATTTTCAATAACATTTCCGAGTTGGATTTTTTGGTACCTGAATAGGAAACGAGATAGAATGCAAAAAAATATTTATTAACAACCATCAAAAATCACCATTTTATGCTTTATAGAAATCCATTCGTCGATTTTCCATCGACTAGATTAAGAAAATTATCAAAAACTATCAGATACTTCACAGTCATTAGTATTTAATAATGAACTGGTAAAAATAAAAATCATCGTTTTGTATTTTAGTTTATTTAAATTTCAAGTTTTCCGCTAAGCTAGTTTTCTCTAATAACTAACATTTAAATATAAATGTAGTAAATAACAATATTTTTCAATTTAGTTCATCGAAAAGTAATACAAATTAATAAACGATCACAGAGGGACCATCCTTAAAACTTATAATGATGCAACGATTTAAAAGTTAAAATGTTCAATATGCTGAGGCATTATTTAAAATAAGAATTCAGTTTCGAAAACTTTAACCCTTGAAGACCTTTGAACCTCTTAGTAATATCTTTATGACGAAAAATATCTAAATAATTGCAAAGTAATTTAATGTGATGCGAAGAAGTGATAATTTGTTGAACTCAATGCTATCCTTCAATTATAATAGTTTTGATTATATCATGAATGAACAAATTTTGTAAAATCTAGCTTAAGATATTGATTTATGCTTCAGAAATCTTGAAAAATGAAGAAATGTTTCGCTTACAACGAAATGCTTGAATTTTTTAAATAAATTTCACTAAAAAAGTTTCGCAAATTAATTTTGATAATGACGCCCTACAAGGGGTCACATTATTAATTGACCATTTGATTCCTTTTTGCAGGAAATCGCCACAATCAAATCATACAACTGTCGCACATTGTGCACCATCAGTGGCTCAATCATCCATTTTACTTCCGCCTCAATCACGTTCTAGTCCATCCGGTGAATTCCGTCCAAAATTTGATTTTAATAGTTTGCTAGATAGCAAGCAAGCTAATGGAAATAGTAGTGAAGTAAGCATTTTGCTAACATTTCATCCGATGCACATTTAGGTTAATTCCTCTTGATTTACATTACGTTAATTTGCGAGCTATAATATTTGTGATTTATACTCAAAACACTGACTTATATTTTTAACAGAGATTTATATGTATAAGCCTCATTTATTCGCTGAAGCAATTTCTATATCATTTTTAAAACTACATTATATGAGATCTTCGACATTTTGAAAATAAAAATTGAAAGTAAAACTGTAATGAAACCAGTAATTTGACATGCGATAAAAGATAATATTATTTGCATGTATATTGCAGTGAAATTTTCGAATTAGTATATTCGTTGCTTCTATTGAAATTTAGAATTAATTGAAATTTTTGTAGCGTATCGAAGGAGGTTCAGAATCGCCGACGCCAAATGATGATGTGAGTGTGCATAGTGCTAGCGATTGTGGTTTCGATCAGGTTTCTGCACTGAAACAGGTAATTCTTATTGCACAATTTTTCCAAGTCTTGTGATGTTGCGTAATATATGAAGAAGACTTTTCACAAATACATCCTTTCTTTTTAAACATTGCAATGACACTGAAGATTCATGATGTACTTGAAGAATATGAATTCATGATGTACCTGAAGGGATGAATTCTTAGATAACCGTATTTTCTCGTTTCAAAAAATTTCTTTAAACAGGATTCTGCAACTTCATCACCGGAAATATCATTTGATTTAAATGGTGGTCATGCGTCAATATCACCGAAGCCAACCGGTGGTGAAACTATTGGACATCAGCAAGCAACAAGTAATGGTAATGGAAATGGTAACGCTACGTCAGGGCAGCCACAACAAACACAGACACCATCCAACACAGTTGCTCGATCAAGGTTAATGTTCGACCCACTCACGGAATTGCCAGTTCTAGAAAAATGGTTTGAAGAAAATCCGCATCCTACTTGGCTCCAGGTAAATTCCTTACATCGGGTTTATTATTAGTATTGATGGAAAGCAAATTGCTCGAGATATATTTGGGATTTAATGACATCGGCATATGAGGTGGTAAAATTACATTGTTGAATCCATTTATTTCGAGCTGTCTGCAAAATAAAATCACTGAAATTCGCGGTTTGTTAATTTTTAATGTGTTAGAAAATTCAAACATTTGCTTTTTGCACTCCTTTTAGCATTTTTTAAATTTTGGAGATTACAATTGATTGAACATTTTTGTTCACAAATGAGAGTAATCGATAAAAAAATGAAATATTTAAATATTTTGGCAACTTCGATTTAAATAATAATTTGCATAAATTAATATTTGCTTAGAGTAATCATTTTTTAATTAAACAAATTAAATTCTTATCGAGAAACATTCTTTAAGTGCCATAAATATTTTAGAAAATTTCAGATTGACCATTATACAGAAGCGTTAAACAGCTGTCAGTATAGACAAAGTTATCCACCAATCTCGACACACAATGTTAAAATTTGGTTTAAAAATCGGCGAGCCAAATGTAAGCGTATGCAGACTGGTGATTTGAATTTGAAAATGATGATTTGAAGAGCGTTTCTGTTTCATGAAAAAACCAGCATCAGTTGAGAATTTTGCTCAGTGAATAAATAAACTAAATTGATTTCAACGAATAATTATTAACAAAAATAGCAAACAAAACAAACTACTTTCATTTTAAAGGAAATTTTATTGAATTTCATTTATCGAATGAATAAATGAATGCATCTTCTATTAGCACTGTGAAATTTTTGCAATTTTCTAAATATTTTGCTAAAAAATTTGATAGCTAATCTTTGATACTTTATGGGAATTTCCAATGCTCTTTTTCTCTACATAATTTTATGCCTTCTTTTAAATCAATTATGTCTCAGTTTCTTTATTTTTCATCTTTGGGTTATCGCTTTCCTTTTTTAAAAATGTTTTACATTAGTATGCTTTTTTGCAAATCGGTAAAGTGAAATAAATGACAGCCATCTGATGAGATGGAAGGATTTAATTTCACGCCTGTAATGAAGTAATGTAAATGTGGCAAGGTTAAGATTGAATATAATAGAATTGTTGCCACCCGTATGGAAAGAAATACATAGGTGCATCAGATATGATTGATGATTGTTACAGGGATCTAAGTAAGAATATTTTGTTAACAAAAGGTGTGACTTTAGAAAGCTTAATAAATTATATTAGTAAAGGAATTAAACTTATCAGTTATATTTCTTAAAAATGTTATTAGTAAATATTTAAAATAGATAAATAATGATTGGTTAATTTGAATGTAGAGGGAAAAATGAATCATTTTGATATATTTTTTTGTCTCTATTTTCAATATTTTCTAATTCCTCAGTCACTCTAGTTGTTGACTTTAAAATTTTCTTAAATTGTATTTTTCCCTGATCTCATTTCTGTTTTAAGAAAAGACATTTTTACACCTTGTCCGCATTCTTCATTTCCTTCACTTTTGCGCCCACCTTGCCACATTGGAATTATTCTTGAGGTGAACAGTGTCTTTTATCACAGGGAATATTAAAGTTTTTAATTACCATAATTCACGAGAATAATGATAGAAACAATAATTTGAATGATAATATACAAAAAAATAGTTTGACGTGGGATTATTTTCAAAAAAGAAAAAATTTATTTCAATGTTTATGCAATTGCTTTAGCCATTTCTCATTTGTCGGATATTTTCGAGGATTTAAAATTATGTTATGCAACAAATAAAATATGACAAATTCATTTTTTGATTCTTTCTAACTGCTTCTTTTTCATTCATTATTAAATTTTTAATCTACAAAAATGCAGGAAAAATCGGAATTTTTTGCTGAAAAATATTTGTTCAAGCGATTCCATAATTTTTCCAGAAGAAGGCTATGTTGTGCTCATTCTTTGTACGCAGAAATGATGTGATATTATTCATTGAATTAATTTTTTAAATGGCGATATATATTATGATAAGGTATATCAAATGTTGGTATTAATTTGTTTGCATCATTTATGGGCTTTTCCCCAGCTTATATGTGATTTCGGGTTTCCACAAAGTGCTCTTGTGTAGAAAAAAAATCTGACACTTGTTGATATGCCAAAAAAAGGTGCTAAAAATTGAAAAACAATTAATTAATCTTAATTTTAATCAAAGTTTACATTTGTAGAAACCCATTTGTACTGCTGCTGTTGTGCCTAAAATCCTCATTCCATTTCTGATTTTCATCCATTTATGTGTCTTCATTTGTAATACTGTAACTGTGCTACAAATATTTTATTATTTTTGATCGCTACAATTAAACAACTAAAACATTTCACAACAAAATGATAACATTTTAAATCATTCTGACCTTTTTAGATATATTAGATCAGTTTTAAATTTTAAAACTGTAGCCTATTATTATGAAAAAATTTCACTTCGTCTAAATTTTAGTGAACTTTCATTCGAATAATACTGTATCATATCATTTATCGAAATTTTTTTTGTTAAAAAAGCAGACTTCTGATGATCATTCAAGTGCCTTATAGTTAAAATGTTTGATTTTTGTGTATTGCTATTCTTGATATGATCTAAAATGATCAAAAAGCGATCATAGAAGTTGATCGTTCGTTCTATCTAAATTCTTTCTGGTCATAATTCCATCTTAACCCTGACCATTTTCATCCAGGTTTATGTGAATTAATAGTTGAATTACCAACTTGTTTATTTTCAATTATTATTATTATCATTCTTATTATTATTATTAATATTGTTATTATTATTATTATTATTATGTCCTAATGATAGTGAATTTCCGCATCCCTTCGTAACGTCTGCGTCTGCTGTAGTGCTTTAGAGAAACGATTTAGATGCGCTTTTCTTTTCAACTTCTCACTGCTCGTTGCTCTAATTTGTCTAATTGTCTGTTTTTTTCTTTGTTTTTTTTCATATATTTGTTGATGGTATTGATGAATAAAAAAATTCCACGTCATACAATGCAAAATATTCTCTTAAGTGCTGTCACCTTTTATCATTCCAACTTTTGCATATATTATTTCTTTCTTTCAGTTGACCTTCTTTAAACACTTTTCATCTAATGATTGATACTTGACTTAATTAGAATTAATTAGAATTGCTTTCAAAGTTACTGTAATCAGAAATTGGTTAAGTACTAAATGAGATTAAACATTCTGATTGTATATACATCAAATGATTCATAAAAATTAATTAAAAATTGATTGTTAGATTAGAATGGATATCAGACTTTTCCACAATTCAAGAAAATTCCGAAATTTATGAAGACATGATAGGAGCCAAACTTATCGATCGTTTCATTCTCAGACATTGTTTATCTCTTCCATTATTTACTTTGCCTTACAGAGTTTCTGCTTTCAATTTTTATCACTTATCAGGTGCAAAATGATTTCTGAGTATAAAAATTCCATATGTAAACTGTGTAATGGGTTTTATAGATATTTTTCGCTGATAACAAAGCAGAATTCTCATTTTAATCTGATTATAATAGCATTAAATGAAATCTATCTGATAAGCGGAGATCCTATCTACTTCTTGGCTTTTTATTGGACAAAGTCTTTGGTTCCGTCAATCAAACTGTTTTAGAAAGTTTTAGGCTTGATTCAGCAAGAAATTATCGGCAGGTTGCTTCATTCAATGATAGCACAGATTGTTCACTTTTCTGTTCAGTTTTTCGACTTTTCCAAATCCAAACTCGCTTATAACGTAAACCAAGGATCATGTTTGGAAAAAATGCTAGCAATATGCAAACTAAAAATATTGCCAAAAAGTAGTAGTTGTGGAATGCCATCGAGAAGCCTTCATCCGATAAACATAGAGGTATCTGCAAACATCGTACATAATGAAAAATGATATTGATTCATTTTTAGGTATATGAGTAAAGCGGGAAAAATCCACGTAGTCCGGTTTCTTTAATCAATTCCATTATATATTACTATAAGACTAAGAATTTAAAATTAAACGATTTCAATGAGAATTCCTTCTTCTGTATATTTCAAGGATAATCTCAGTGTTTGAATTCTGACATGCGAAGATTGTAAGATTGTAAGGAATGTCGTACCATATGGGTACACGAACGAAATTTTGCTGTAATAATAATAGAATTATTGTTCAAATTCTTGCAAATAAATTGTTGCCATTGCTGGGAGTAAACTGAACTTGATCCACGACTTATGCAAGTTACGGTACATGGTGACCAAGCAGTCCATAAACACTGTGAATCCTGCACCTGTTGTTGATGTTGAAATTTATATCAAGGTGCAATTTAGGAGATATATTCAAATGGCTAAAGCTGATTGACAAACCATTATATTTGTTTCATAATTGCCGATTGATTGGATCTGCTTAATTGCATATTTCTTTTGTTAATTTTTATTCTACTTCTTTTGCATAAATTTTGTTTGGAAATCACCTTTCATACCATAGCATATTTTGCAATATTATCTTAATTCTTCAAGAAATTACTTTATTTCACTTATTGATAGCTTTATTAAACAGTGCATCAAAGTAGTTAGCTCAACATATACTCTTTAAATGTGACACGATGCCTTCCTGAAATAGTTTACTATCGAAAAATACAGCATTCTTAGTATTAAAAAAGTCACAGCTATTTAGTCCTTACCTTTGCTTGTACATCACTATAATGGAGTGCAAGATAGAATATTGAAAAGGTAACATAAACTTGACCAGATGTTGCCATAAGTTCTTTCTGAATTGATGTTAATGTTTCTTGATCATTTGTTTGTTTTTTTTTTGACTTGTTACTAATGATAATCAAAACGAAATTTCATTAGAATATGCAAATTTTTATGAAGAACTCTTCATAGTTCTTACATTTTCAGGCACTACCATTCCGTTTAATAAAATTATAAGATTTTTCTCATTTCCTGGAAGTTAAATTTCAATTTCTTACAATTTCCATCTTTTAGCATTGAATTCTAACCTTTGCTATAATTTGCATATTTTGGCAAAATTTTACAAGCTTTACAAATTTATTAAAAAATAAGAGTTTACCTTGGTCTTATAAATAATTGAATGCTTCCGAACTAACTCATTTTCATCATTTGAAGAACCGAGAAAAGATTGCAATCATGCCGCTTCTCCAGAAGTATGTACCATGATTATCAAATAAATTGCACAATAAACATTGAACTTGTAGAGTGAGAAAAATTACGATGTTCTGAACTTCTTGAAAGATAAATTACTGATACGGCTCCTTAACTAGTTTTAATTAACTAGTATATATAATCGCATTGAAGAACAAATTTGTCTTCGGACTATCGTCTCAGAGTGCTCCTTCGCGTTAGGAAAATAATAGTAGAGAGTACTGTATTGATATATTATGTTACGTTGTAGAAGTCCGGTGAGCAATCAGATCAATTATATACAATCATATCATTTCTTTGCGATTCAGTGATTCTCTTAGTAAAAAGAATAATGATATTTGCGCTTTAGTTTCGAACAAAGAGTTCTGCACTATATAAGAATCTTACAAAAAATATTAATAAATAAGTAGAGAAAGAAATACTTAAATTGTTGTTTCCTATTGATAAAACTGTTAATATTTCCCTTCTTACATTTGTTCTTGTAGAAAAACAAAATCAAAGAAATCGATAAAGGATCAGCAAACATCAGCGAAACGAAATCAACGAATGGTCTTCAGCGCCCAAAAAACTGCTGCCACTAGACAAGTAGCTCTTTCTATCACAAACTCGATAGCACCTTTTAATTATGCTTACTGGTTTATTTCAGCTTTCTCCTTTTGAAATTCATTTCTTCTAGCTTTCATGTGTCTCTGCAAACCGACCAAGCAATAGTCGTGTTGCACACAGTCAGAAAGTGTCTGGAAAATTCTTGGAAATAGGGGGAAGTGATCGGCAAAGAAATCAAGAAAGACAAGATCAAGCTGTGCAGGAACTGGTTGAGCATCTGAAGTCGATTGCACCATTCAATAAACGCTGGCAAGTAAATATTCCGTAGAATTTAGCCATTTTAACAAACGATAAACAATAGACAGTGCAGAACCGAAAGATTTGAAATTTGCTAGCTTTATTTTGTTACTTATAATATAATCAATCTTTAAATGAGACATTGACATTCCATTAATTCTCTGATCCATATTCAGGTAATTGAGACAATCAATCAGGGTACGTACGGTGTGGTATTTTCTGTTCGCGATGTTGTCACAAAGGTATACGGTGTCATTAAAGTGGCTAAGTCGATGGCTAACGAAGCTGGCAATGTTTCAGCTGAGTGGGAAGGATTTATCCTGGAAAAAATGTTTAAAAGAGTACAGTATCTAATACTATCTATGAACAAATTAATGATGGCTATCCTTTGCTACATTTAGGAATAAAGACCGATGTGAGGCCAAAATGTATTTTAGACCAGAAGACCGGATTAGGAACATTTTGATGGCAGTAGAATTAACCATTAAAAATCATCTCTTTTTCACACTGAAAAAAGAAGGGAAACTATAACTGATAATTTCAATGAAAGAGGTTCACAACTACATAGATTATTTTGAAGCTGAAAGAGTATCAAAAACGGTCAGACAAAAAAGTATTCCGCGCTTCAAACTAATTGGAAGCTTTTGCACAAAAATATTTCAAAAGCATCTTTCAATATAATTTTTCAAATTTTCAACTTCTCAAATTCATAAGTCTTATGAACCGAAGTTATAAACCTTATAAACCTGGAGAACTCGAAATTTTCGCTTTGAAATAATATTGAAATAATTGAAATAATATAATGAAGTAAATTCAGTCTGAAACTGCATCAATCGTTCGCTTATTAGATAAAGGTATGCTTGCGGATCAACATGGCGAAGGTATGGAATTCGTGGTACTGGAAAAAGCGGGAGTACCAGTAAAGGACTATATTTATGAGGTAAATTGGATAATGAAATCGTGATAAACTAATTTTTTTGTTTATCAGACTCTTATTTTCTCTTGTATCAACGCTTGACTTATTTGTTCACTAATCTGTATTGGAAAACAATTTTAAAAAAATGAAATTTATAAAATAATCGTACAGGTAGAAGGGGTGCATAGAAAATATCGTGCGGCAAATATCTCATTACAAATGCTGAAAGGAATTTATGATCTTCATTCACAAGGTACTCAGAAAATGCTGCAAAGTTCTGTTATTCCAAATTCTTTCAAGGTGTTCTTGAACTAATACTACATTAAAAGTATGAGTAAAAACATGAAAGAAATAATCCACCGCTTTCAATACAGAAAAAATTCTTTCAACTAATATAGCAGAATTTCGCTAATACTACCATAATATAACTTTTGCCTTTATTATTAACTAAGAAAACACTAATAAGATCAGACTATCGCCACATTTTCCATATACCTCTCACCTCAATTAGCAAAACAGCGAAAGACGAGAGAAAGCTTAGAAGGGTAAAAGTACCTTGAGATCCCAGAAAGCATTCGAAATAGATCGAAAAGGTTAGATAATTTGAATATATCCAGGACTCCTGCATCGAGACTTGAAGCCAGATAACATGGGTTTATCTTCAAGAGAACAACCGATTGCATTGCTCTTCGATCTCGGTATGGCTCGGATGTACACCGATGGAGAAAGCGATGTAATTTACGCATTTTCATCAATGCAACATAATTCTCTAATTTTAATAGAAATAATGATTAGAATATATGAAATAAGCTATTTTGGAAAAGTCACTATGATGGAGTTTGATCGACTCAAAGAAAGTTAACCTCATAGTTAAGCTTGAAATAATCAGATGAATTATAAAAAATTTTGGATTTTTTCAAAACCAGATCAACAACAGCTATTAGGCATCGTATCAGTCCTTTTATGAGAAGATAGCTGACAGACAAAATATAATTGGAAATTTTCTTCGCCAGATTGAATTTAGCTTAATTATTGGACCAATTTCACCAACACTTACTATGTCATAGGTATCAAAAGACTTTTTGCTAGATACGACCGCCACGAACATGCTGTCCGTTCCGTGGAACACCTGAATGGGCAAGTGGGCACGCACAAAAAGGTCGCGAGCAGACACGCTTTGATGATCTTATTGCTTGGCTTTATGTTACATGTGAACTTTTTGCAAATGAACGTGAACCCGTTCAACCGTTACCATGGACGTACAGGAACAACATGAAAGTGAGAACAATCCCGCTCCACCTATTCCTATAATATGTTAATGTTGAATCAAAAAAATTTTTAAGGAACAGGATTTCAGTTGGAATAAGCATTTTAAAGAAAATTTATGCTTGTAAAGAAATTCATCAATTTGATTGCGAAATCTATTAATGCACATTTCTTTCTTTTCTTTCGAATTTTTCTGCAAGAAATTGTAATAGTGCATAAATAGTGTATATTTATTTGTGATTCATTTAGGCACATAAATATTTGAAATCAATGTATTGTCCTGCCCGTTATCTCCTGAAAACATTGCCATACCAGTTTTATGCAATTAATGCCTATCTTCATACAGGTTACTTACTGTCTTTATATATGAATTAATTTTATATATTAAAAAATACAGCAAGATATGGAAAAAAAATCCCATTGATTTACTTATAAGCTTATTTTTATTGCGGTAGTAAAAATTAATTCTAGCAAATCCTCAAAAGCCACCAGATTATCATTTCCTGGCTGAAAAAACTTCTGAAGCAATTAAAGAGTTGGAAAAAGAAGTCAAAAAATCATCGCCGCCGCCGCCGACACCCACGGTAACTTTATGGCGATTCAGAATACCATATCAGTTTTACTTTCAACTAGATTTGCAGCCTATAAGTTAACTAAACCATAGAAATAATGCTGAGTGGCTTCAGAGCTCAAAAGTTGCATAAGCCCATTAATAAACATAATATAGCTCATATAATTATAGATTACTCTGTCTTGTCTTCATAAGCCATAATGTATTTTTTATACCAACCTTTACTTTTTTCCACGTTTTACACGTTGCGAGATGCGTGTTTATAAGCCTATATATATATATATATATAGGCTATATATATATATATATATAACATACCACTTTTTCTTAAATATTACTAAACAATCTTAAGTCCCACACAGAACTACAGAAATTTAAGTTCCTTCATCCTACCTATCCTAACCTTAACAGATTAGCATTTATATGAGATTTTCCTGTTGAAGACTATGTAATAGTTATAAAATATTTTCAAGGGGTTTTTTCAGACCGCTATAGAGGGAAAAAATGTCATCCAGAAAAGAGCGGAAGTAAAATCGAAAAGTAAACATAGTAAAAAATCAGACGTTGCAAAGAATGCGGCGAAGAATCCGGTGAAGGTATGAAAAGGATAATAATAAGAAGTAAAGAAAAGCACCTCTCATGCTCTCTTGCACTGACATGTAAAAAAGTGATAATGAATAACAATACAAATAAATAATGCAAATGCTTTTATTGCTTGAAGATTTTGGTATTAATAATGACTAAGATGTCACTCAGTAAGATATGTATATGCCACGGATTCTGACCAGTTTTAATACTTGTGGATAACAGCCACGTTCTCCCTCAATTCCGACTAGCATGCCGATCCTTGAACTCATCCCACTTGCTGACACTTCCCATCGACAAGTGTTGCATAGTGCGTTGCAGCAAGTAAAGTTCGTATTGATACGGTGAGGATAAGAGCTTATAAACGTGCGTAATGCGGGGGTTTCGAAGTGATTGAATCTGATGGGTTTGGAGTTAGAGTTATTCTTAATTCCATTTGTTTTGAACTCAGAAATTTCTGGCTGATCTTGAGGGTTCTTGATGTGATTACAGAAATCTTCAGTCTTCAGCATTTACATTCGCAATTTAGCGAATGGGATTTCTATGTTATAACCATATTGTGATTAATAAAGGGATTCCAGTTTACTTCATATAATCGAATCCTCTGTGACAAAGGATGCTAAGTGGTCTTATAATATAATTTATGTATTGGCAAGAGAACTATACCCACCTTGTAAACACATTACATTATTCAGGCCGATGATCTGATGGAGGTATTAGTAACGGAAGTGCTGAAAATCCTCTGTGACATAGGATACTAAGCGTATTGTGTTTCAAACAAGAAACATATCTGAATTTAAGGATGTATCAATAAAATGGACATCCGATGTTTTTCCACAGAATACCTAGGATAGAGATAGAACAGGAAACAGAACGGGTTAATATAGTTGCACGAAAATTGTGACGTGCTTAAATTATATCAAAATCTGAAAACAGTTGAGAAAATCACCTAATTGAAATAGCGGTTTGTACGCTGAATGTTTATGTTAACCGATTTATAATTTTGTTTCAGATGAGAAATTGCCTGAGGTATTTGATAAACGATTGCCTTTATGTGGAAGCTACATTGGAAGATAATAAGTATCAAGGTATAGTAGATTTCGCTATCAAGACATTAAATTTTAATCAGACATTTTCAGTAACTCATATTCCTTGTACTGTATGCTATATCATTTTACAGTTTAATTGATTTATAGTGAAAAATTTCTAATTGAATGACATTCAAAGTTGCCAAATAAGTTAAAAAAAATGTTTTTTACTAAATGTAAATTTGATGGTTGATTTTAGAAACTTTTAAAATGTTAACAGTGAGATTATGTTCGGAGGGTGAACATGCTGTTATTGGAAAGACGAAATTCTTATGGCCGGAACAATGCTTACCAAATGAAGTAAGTGTTGTATGTTGTCCCTTATCCCATCACGCTATTCCCGCACATCTTTTTAAGTGGTTTCAAGATTTCTGTCATTTTTCTCGTAGTTTATCTTTCTGATCAGGATGCTGCAGATCACATGATGATTGTAATATCCTTACGGTGTTAAAAATAGTTGCACAAAAGCCTTAGTAAGCTAGACTTGCTGTACTTCCTTAGTTTGAATTAGGAATTGGTCAATTTAAGATAATTTTTGGTTCTGAAAGGATTTTGTAAAAATGATTTCAGTTTTCTTTCCTTTATCTTTGGAAGTTGACTCTTTGTCTCCTTTCTGCTTTAGATCAAAATGTTTTATACTCCTTAGTTATCACATATGATTTTTGAGAGAGTGAAAAAGAAAAACAGTGTATTAGCAAAGTAACATATTTCTTCAATGTGAATTAATTGTGTTTAAGGAGAAAAAAATCTTATGCTGCATTATAATTGAATCTTTCTTAGATCACAATCGATGAAAAGCAGATTGTTGTTTTGAGAGGAATCAGTAATATCGCCAGAATACCTTTAAGGCAAGCTTTTTTCCTATTGCCTTCCTGCAAAAAGTAGTTTTATGTCGTAACACATTCTTTATCTTGTTTAGATAAATTTTCCTCATGTAAATGAGGTGTTGACAGTTAGAGATCAACAAAAATATGAACTGGAGAAGTAGCAGGATTCATTCACTCCTCTTCGACAGGTTTATGAATTTTCGAAGCTCGTTGAGACATAGTTTTGAATATTAAAAAAATTGTTTTTTAGAATACAACCGACTAAGCGTTCGTTATACATCGGTACTTCAGAGGATTCCGTTCCTTCCGCATCCATTCATGCATCACTCTCTTCTCTTCATAGAACAGAACCCTTTGATTCTCTCGCTGTAAAAATTTCTAAGTGCTTGGCACAAAAGGTTGGTTTCCTAAATTTTTGAAATGTTTTTCACTTCTTTTGAAATTTAAATTATTGTTAAAATGGACCTAGTTATCTGACATTGTAAAACACTATGCTAATAGTTGCAGGATTTGAATAATATTTGGAATGAGCTGTCAAAATTAGCCGGGGAAACAAATGATGATCTGTTTGCCCACTTACCTATAGCGCTTCCTGCTCATTTACAAGTGGTGTTGTTAAGGGTCTTACGCAAATGTGTTAATGAAAAACTTTTCAACCGGGTACTCACATTTCTCATTCAATCGAGACTGATCACCGAACCCAAGTTGGTTTAACTTTTAACTTTTGAACATAAATAGACTATGTGCTATTTATATCATCGGAAAAGACTGAATATTGGAGAAGTAATAGCTGGCATGTAATTGCAAGGGTTACAGTCATTCAATTTAATGAATCCCATGAATCCCTAGTGTTCCAATTAGTTTCAATTTTCTGAGATGAGAAGTATGGCCAGGTTTGTCAGGTTTATGTTTGTATGAAAAATAACATCTCATAATCGGGTGTATAAAAAGTGAAACAGATGTTTCATAAAGTAAAAGTAATTTATATCCCAAGATTTGTTTACTGAAGTTAGCTTCAAATTACTTTAGTCGTATGAATGGAAGAATTTTAAATTGGTTGTTTTCAGGGCATGCCGTAAACTCATTGAATTATTAGCTAGCAAAAGTCTTATCCAACAAGCAGTTGATTTTCTTCGTTTTTCGGTAGTAGTCGATGATCAAACATATACCGTATTTCTCAAAATGTCTTCAAATGAGTATGTGTAGCTTTTTATCGCATTGTTTCTACTTTTGTATAATAAGATTAGAAACGTTTGTTTAAGTCTGTTATTTTTGGTTTGTAATGTAATTTTACAGTTTGAGTTAGTTGATATATTTCTATCCGCTGGTCAGTGGGAGAAGTTAGTGATGTGGTAATTTAACAAAATGAACGAGGAAGTAATAAAGTTTTTTCAGATCTGTTTTTGAGTGCTCCAACATGCTTTTTACTTTACTGGAAAAGCCTGTTAATAGCTACGGGTTACGACTAACTGTCTCACAGGAGTTGACAGAGGTTGAAGTTACGACTCTGATTGAACGATTGATATCACTCGGTTGTGACAGGAAGAGAGATGACTTATTTGATAAGGTATCGTTCTAACAGTTTAATGACATTGCGCTATGCTAAAGCTTATTGCATCTCTTTTTTCTTTCATTATAAAATTTGACATTATAGAATTCTAAACTTTAATAGTTCCATTTATTTCATTTAACGTTTATTCAATATATGATGTTCACAGAACATTGTAGGGATCATGATATTTTAATAGTTTTTTAGATACTAAAACTTATGACAGTTCTCATTGATAGCCATTCACAACGTTTTGTTTGGAATGAAAAGTGTCACAGTGTAATACGAAATGCTTCCTGTTTTGCAGCAACCATGGTATTCCTAATTTCTTAATGCCATTACGCTAAGATTATTATTTCACGTCATAATTTTATAGCTTTTAACTTTCATATTTTAAGGAGCTTTTATTTTCTCTCCTTTTGAAATGCTTGCGAAGGTGACTTAGTTTTGTTTAGTTATAATGCTAGACATACATTCTTTGAGTTCATGTCTTCCAAATTTTGCACTTTTTCGAAGTTGAAACTATAAAGTTTACATTTTTTAGTGGAACAAAATGAACAGAATGAGCTATTAGCTTCATCTGTTACATTGGCACTTTGATTATTTTATGGAAAAATACAGATCTTTAATTAAAGTTCACATACCTATTGCTAATATTTCATGTGCAATTGATCGATATGTTCCGTCACTTGGAACAACAGCTGGAGCAGAAGAAAAAGATAGCTGATGAGGCGCCTGAAATCAATAGTGATTATGTTATAAGGAAGATAAGTTTTGCTCAAAAACCCATATAGTTCACCCTTTCTTTTTGTTTTTCGAAGTCTTATTTTCAAACTGAATGTCATAGGTTTTTTAAACGATATTCGGTTTCAAAAAAAAGTATTTGAGGAAGTAATTATTGATAAGCATTTCAAATGATAGATTTTGTATCAAATTTCGTAGCTAAAAATATATCAGAAGTTTTAATTTAATTTCTAATGATTTTTAAATTTAATTTGAATTTTAATGTTGATGAATTACTGAGGATTATTAATATTTAGATTTAAGTTAGACATTCATCAAGCACTTTGTCCACTTTGTAAGGCTGTGCATTTGTCATGTTATTTCACTGTCACGTCAATAAATATTCCATTTTATAATTACTTGTTGGAAGTTCTCAGGCTAAAATATTCCACTGCCTTGCATTGAAATGATTTCAGTCTTAAACAGATTTTTAACTAGATTTTTAACTATGACATTATAAAGAGTCTGTGATGGGTTTTTTTTGGAAGCAAATATTAATTTTTACTAGGAGATCGTTTTCCTTTTATAGTGGAATTTGCAAATTATGCTTTCTCCCAATTATTCTGAACTTCGAAGATAGTGATATGAAGGCTCTTAGTACTTTAAGTTACTCGGAGCGTTCAACCAATGCTGATTGTTTCATTGGAGTATTCTTGAAGGAAGTGTGTAGATTATTTCGGTCTGTTTCATTAATGTTCTAGGCAGTGAGAGCGGCCTTAAACTTCATATTTAAACTTTTTTAGTGAAGCATTCCTATCACACAGTAAACGATATTTCAAAGTCATTCGTTCTGCATGATTCGTTTCATTATATGCAATCAAGCAGACCACGTTAATTTCACATTTCAGTGGATCTTTTTAATGCCTACTCCATTCGATTTGAATACAGCCAACTCAACTATTGTTGATTTTCGGAGCATCATAACTTAATTTTGATGTATTTCATGCGATTAACATTTTTGGTCTTCATCACTCTTTCAGTGGTGGATTGTGCGAATATTGTAAAGGATATTTTCTCGAGAAAGGTATTAACATTTTAAGCGTCACATTAGCTGTTAAACATGTTAGGATATGGAAATGTAGGAATTATTGTCTATAAACTTCATATCGACTTTATGCATAAAACAAATATTAGTTTCGTATTATCTTAGGGAGAGTATTACTCTACCATTCATTTTATTACTTTTTTCGAAATAGATAGTCGAATGAATTTTTTGTTAATTTTTCAGTTAGTTGTTTTTAAATTTTTCTTTTGTCGATCTATTTGTTATCTTTCTATTTTTAGGAATTTATCATTTCTTGTAATCAATAAGAATAGCTCTCACTTTATGATATTAATGAGTAATGAGAGGAAAACAGATTAACAGGGAACTTGTTGATGAAAAATTGAAAAGTTAAAATTGGTGTCTGAAAATAAACCTTCAACTTTCTTGCAGCATTTTGCCGTTGAAATGGTTGGAAACTTGAATCTTTCCTTGATAAACTAATTATATGTGAAGATATTTGTTTACTGTATTTATTTTACTTATAAGATATAAGCATGCTTTCATGTAAGGAAGAATGTGATTATAGTTCACCATGTCATAATTTTATTTAATTCCCAGGGTTATGATGTCGCTGGAATGACTTTCCACTTATTGAACAATAAACGGACTTGGAAAAGGAGTTTAATACATTACCATGAACAGGTCATACATTTCCCAGCGAGGATTTACAATAAATTATTCTTTGATGAAGTCATAATAGACTGGCAGTTAACTTTTACCCTGACAAAAAAAAAATCGAAATAAAGTCATGATAATAGAACTGATCGTTATTATTCTTGTAATTCATAATGGCACGTAAGTCTTTAACTTTATATTTTCATTGCAGGGATTCGGTTATTCGCCCAATAAAACTACCATAAATGATTTGTGTAATAATAAATGTGCAAGAGACGAAATTTGCGAGGTGATGTTTTTCTTTCAAAACTCGCTCAATTTTTTGTAGTTTCTACTATTATGTAGATTTTGTTTTTTCTGTTTCTTGAAAAATGTAAAACGAATTTCCGATTGTAGTTCGAATTTCTTGAGTTAATTCGAGGGAATTTCATGGTAGCATCAGGAATACAGAAGTTCAGAATTACATTTTGACAATATTCTAACAGGTAATAACTGGAAAGTGTGTTTGTATTGCTGGTTTTACACGGATCAGCAATGGTTCCTGTGTTTCCGTATCGATCGATGGCAGTCTGTCTAATTCGTCATTCTCCACTCCAAAATTTGAAATTATTGGTCCAACAATTGTGCAGCTTCCTCGCGACAGTACCAAATTATCCATAAAATTTATTGACTCACAGGGTATTTTCTATTATGCTTTTATTTTGGTTCTTCAGGAGAAAAATTAAATAAGCTAGAGAGGAAATGAAGTAAGAAACGAACGTAAAAAATTAGTAGAAAGCAGTTGATTTGTTTCCATTCTCTTTTTTTTGATATCGGTGTTGTACATTTACGGACCTTATATTAATTGTCCTAAAAATTTAATGTTCTTCGGGTTGTAAGCAAAAAGCACGTTTTGTGTAGCAAATTATTTATAGTGCTCAAATTTATGTTTTTTTTTTGATCAGCTCCTATTAATAAAAAAATATTGCATTTGAGATTGACATTTTGAGTAATTGAAGCTAAAAAACGGGATGCAAACACTAAATTTTCAGAGGATCAATCAGATTTTACTTATTATTGGGAAGTTCTAGATGGAGGAGGTTTTGGTGCAGCAAACACATATACTGAACCAACTCTTATTATCACAAATGTATGTTTGTAATTTTACTTTTTCTAGGACAAATTAATTTTAAAGTGGGAGAAATGAGAAAGGGGAAGACAGAAGTATTGTTAAGATGGGTAGTCTTTTAGCTTTTAATCGCTAATTTGTACAAAATCGTTCAGATTCACCTTTTACAGGATGAAAACAGAACTTGCTGCTAATTTAATAATATTTTTTAGTTTAGCTAAAAGAAGGTATGATGCGCTTACGTGTCACTATCGCGAATTCCACTGGCAAAAGCTTCAAGGATACGACGCTCAGAGTTCTCGCTGAAAAACATATCAATAAACCGCCTATAGCACTAATACGCCCTTCAAGTCAAATTTATGTTAATGAAGGGAGCCATCTAGTATTGGATGCCGAAGGTACTTTTTTGTTATGAACATTTGGAAATTTTCAATTGAGTTTTCGAAATTCCTAAGAAAGAATCGATTTCGGAAGTTTAATCAAAAAGTGAAAAGTCATACGAACATTAGATTACGTAACACGATGAGAAATGTTCTATACAATTTTTTTTTTTTGAAAAACCATTAGGAGCGCTGATAAGAATGTACGCTTCACCAATTTGCACGGCTAGATGCATTTCAGTTACTTCAGGTAGTTCTGATGATAGTGGTCAGCCTCTGGAGTTTGAATGGAAGCTTCTAAATGGCCCGGCAATTTCGTTACCTGCAATGAATACAGCTGTGCTTCGCCTTGATAATCTTGTTACTGGAAATTATACCTTTGGGCAAGTTTTTTGAAAATTTTATTCAGAAATAATGTTCTCAAAATTTATATTCTGTCAAAGTCAGCCATACGAATACGCTAATAGTCATTAGTAGCCTCGATTTTTATCGTTTTTCATATCTAATTACATTTTAATTCTTTTCAAGCTACTTTCGAAGCTATTGATTTGGTTTTTTTGCTTCTTTTTTTGCTAATTCTAAAGTTTTGTAATTTGAAATTATAGGTTGATAGTAAAAGATCAACAGGGGGCTATTGATGAGAAGCGTGCAAAAGTAATTGTTACTGCAAGTTAGTCTTTGTTCTAAATCTCTGAATTTTCGAATTTTATTGGATATCAGATTGTGAATCATGCAGATGGTTTTCTATTATTTGTAACTCTTCCCAAGAGTGCTTTTCCACATCGCATTATTTCGATTCAAAAAAATTTCATCACCATCAGATGGGAAAGGATGAAATTAAATCAAAGTTTTCATTTAAAATTTCGAAAATATGCAGAAAGAGATGATCCGCCGAAAGCTTTAATAACTGTTTGTGGTGATCCATTAAGCCGCTCCGCAGTAGATGTTCGTCTTCCGAAAAATAGTCTCCGACTGTGCGGCAACACTTCTACTGATGATGACGTACGTCTTTTAGTTATGAGCTAGAGATAATCTCACTAAATTAGTCGGTGTCTGGACATGAAAATATGGTTACTGTCATTGGCTGCCGTTTGTTTATTTCTTTTAAAAGCATTCTATTGTAGGGTATTGTAATGTATAAATGGTTTCGAGTGGATAACTATACGACTAAACTTTCCGTCGACTTTACAGGTTTCCTTTTTTCTTTTTTGTACCAAATACACAAAATTATCAGGAGTTTTGTGAGAACAACCAAAAGTTCAGGGGAAGACAAATTGTGACCAGTTTGTCGTGTTGAATATGCTTTCAAAAATAAGTTCAATGCCCGAGATTCGAATGAAATGTATGATGTTTCTTAATGGATTTACATTTCATTGACAATCTCATAATCACATGTGACGCTTGCCGCATAATTTAATTTGAATCTTTTCGGTCATTCATTAATTCCTCTTTCTGGTTACAATTATTTTTCTTTTGAATATCCTCCCCTTTACTGCTATGTAAGTTAGAAAAAAAGAATCGTATATCGGAATACATAAAATATGCAAGCTGGTCAAGTTTATTTCTATTTCTAATGTAATTACAGGTAAAATTTCTTTCCGTGATTTTTAGAAATCTTATTCACCATACTTCTGAGGGAAGCCTGAACTGTTTTACTGCTTGCTATTTTGCTCTTTCTTCCTTACATTAGGAAAAGTTGTTAGATAAGTAATATTGCTTGTTTAATATGCCCAGGAAGTAGCGAATTTTTTTTGATAGCTTTAAGTGGGAAAGAATATTTCTTAAGAGATCACTCATTTTTATGTACACAGCTGTTTCCTTTTTTCTGAGCGAAGGAAAACAAATCTATGGATTTACTCTTCCCATTTGTAAAATTGATTAGATTAGATGGAATAACCTAATTCTGCTTTTTTTTTAAACATTGAACAATCTCTACTAGTTTTAAGTAATTATACTTGTCGGCCTAAAGTGTTTGTTTTTCGAATTTTCGAAGTTAGCTTTTTCCAGGATCATCGACACCGGTGCTTTTTTTGACGAATCTGCAAGCAAATGATAAAGTTGGACCGTACATTTTTCGACTGGAAGTTACAGATAGCAAAGGGCAGAATGATTCGACAACCGTTGATATTTTGGTGAACAATGCTGTCAATTCTGCTCCAGGTATCATTTTTTAGGGCTTTTCTTTTCATAATACTTATGGATCTTTATATTTGTACATATCATTTCTCCTTGTTTTCTTGCTATTGCTGTTTATTATTGAAAGTAAAGCATTGAAGCTGGTCGCTTTTAGTGCTGCATAGATTTTATATTCGCAATTTAACGAATGGGATAAAATTCTCTAAAAGATTTTCGAATTTTTAGTTCAAGATGTTTTCTTGTGAGAAATTTAAAAGATGGAGTTTTATGAAAGTAATCTATACCGAAAATGTCTGTGATTAATTTCTTTGACGTCTAAAACTGAAAAACTTCAGTTTGGCGGGTTTACTTTTCGTTTTACTTTTTTTTTCTTTTTTTAAAAAATTAATCTCGATTAAATTTTTCTTCATTTTCAGTACCATACGCTGGTGGAAATCAAACCATTCAACTACCAGCTGAATCGGTGGTTCTTGATGGGAATGTCAAAGATGATGGACAGATTGTATCTTATGATTGGATTCAAATAAGGTAATATTTATTAATGTTTACTTTTGAAATAACTCTTCAGTCATCATCCATACCTTACAGAGCAAAGTGATCTTTCGGAAATGTTGTGATTAGATATGAAATTTACTCATTCATGAAGGAGGACATTCTCCTACAAATCAGAAAAGCTGCACTGATGTTATTAAAGTGTCTCGATTTATTATTTGGGTATTCAAAATAGTCTGCATTGGTGGAATCCGCATTTGATAGCACAAAGGATTTTAATGTCATCAATTTTGCATAACCGCTACTCATATTAAGTTTTCCACAATTCGGGAGAATAAATTGGAAATATTAGTCACAATTTAAATTTTTTCCAATTTGTATGAATTTATACGAATAAAAAATTGTTCCAGCTTTCTACTACTGTTTGCACTCTGGTTAAAACTAGCGATATTAAAGAAAATGAAATTTAGGGAGAGAATTCGTTTCGTTTTTAAAATATCATTCAAATAAGCTGGAAAGCTGGAAAATCAAATTTCTTACCGGTGAAGGGTAAGCCGGAAGAGTAGTAAGACCATTGGTTTTACTCATTTAGCTTTCTAATCTTGTACTGATTTCTTTCTTCTTAGGCATGATACTTTTTTACATTTTTAAATTTCCAGTGGACCGAATATACTGAAAATTGTTAATCGGGATAAATCGAAATGTACGCTCTTTGGACTTCAAGAGGGAATTTATCGTTTTCGTTTGAATGTTACTGACGATGGTGGTCTCTGGGGCTCAGATGACGCTTATATTATTCTTATCAGGAGTAAGCTTAAAAATGAGTCCTTTCAAAGTTTTTGATGATGAGTTTTGAAAAATTCTGAAGGTTGTTTTATGCTAACATTTATATGTTGAATTCACTAAAATCCTTATTAACAGATTTATTTATATTGAACGTTCTTTATTTCTCTTCTTATTCTGTGCTTGATAATATAAATTCTCTTCTCTGTTATAAAAGTTTGTGGATGTAATCCATAATCTAAAATGTTTAGGCAAAAATGAAGCACCAATAGCAAAGGCTAGTGATTTAACTATTACTTTACCAGCAAGTGTAGCATTCCTGAATGGAAGCGAGTCCTCTGATGATGCAGGGATAGTTCGATGGCTTTGGATCGCTCATGATGATGTCCCTGCTTGCATTGTAAGTGTTTGCTTATTTTCACTCTCAAATGTTATTTTTAGAACTTTTTTAGAATCTTATTTGGGCTATTGAGCAATTCTCAAAATGATTGCAATCCTAACTTTACATCCTGGTCATCATAATTTTTAGACATTCTTGGGCAATTCAAAAGTGGAGTCAGTGGCGATACTGACTGGTTTAGTTCCGGGCACATTTTTGTTTGATTTAACAGTTTGGGATCATTCTGATGCAATGAATGCAACAACTGTTGCATTAACTATTTCTGTAGGTAAGTAAAATTTTATTTAGGTTCATTTCTCTTGACTATGCGTCTTTATTTTTTGGTCCTAAAGGTTATCTTTAGTAAGTTTCTCTGCAAATCAAACATTGGAAGAGCTAATTTTTGGGTTCTTCCCTTCCCTGCCTTCTATCACGTTCTAATCACAGTCTTTTTTTGAGATGTATTGACAATTTCTTGAAAATACATTAATGCATGTCACTTTTCGTTCAGTTTAGAGATAGTTACGAACTTCTTATGGGTATTTTTAAACGTAAAGAAATGTAATTTTTAGGCATGCCACATTCGCAATCGGTGGAAATGTACCTGAAAAAGCAGTTTAGTGAATTTACATATCGTGCAAAAAATAAACTTGAAGAACAACTGAGTGCAACTCTTTTGTCGCAGGTATTCTTAAAGTTAATTTTAATTGTCATTTCGGCCAGCGTTTTTTAATTCTCTGTAATTGACGTTCTTATAGATTTATAAAGAGGAATTGAATAAGTCGGTGTTTTCTAATTCTTCACTGATATGATCAGTGTTTGCAAAGTTTCTTGAACATTATTTTAAAAAAATACGAGGAAAACTGGAACAGCATGAAAACATTTTCGGTTTCACATAACTCCTTTTTTATACTTATATTTTACAGATAGAAAAAGCAAACAACGTGATAGTCGCATTTTCGTCGATTGATGAAGATTTCAGCAGAGGCCGAATACGTATCGTTTTCCGAGCTTATTATGTTAATATCGCATTTCCTTCAAGTAATAACCTGTAGTTTGATCATTATTTTTGGTATTCTACTTGGATATTGAAAAATTATTTTCACAAACTTGGATTAGAAAATCTGCAGGATTTCCTTTGATGCAATTCTCTTTTATAAAAGATTTTGGTTGTGTTGAAGCTTAAGACAGTCGGTGATTTCTTTAGGCAAATTTGTTAATACATGCTTTTTTTAGAGACAAATATGGAAGTAATTCCGCAACAAAAGAGTGAAAAAATAACGGTTATAGAAGCATGGAAGATTATTAGGATTTTACGTTCAGAAACGACTATAATGGCAGGATTCGATATTGATTCCATTGATACCTTATGTAAGTCATCTTTTTTACTAATATTTAGTCAAACAACTATTCAATATGATGTGATATTCATTTAGATGCATATGACATTTTAGTCTCAGCTCTCCCTGTTTCTCCTAGTTTGTTATAAATATAGTTAACATTATAGTTTTCAGCTATAAATTACAAAAAAGTATTTAGCATGAAAGACACTTATGGTTATACTAAAGGTTAATTTTTTTAAAAACAAAGTTGTCGAAAATAAAGAGTGAAAAATCAAAGTTACATTATAAAATTTATAACAGATTGTACTCGAAGTTGCTCGGGGCACGGTGTATGCAATAATTACACAAAAGAGTGTGATTGCGACAAATATTGGATGCCAAGTCTTTTATCTTACGTTGTTTTTGGTTCCAGAATAGACTGCGGTAAGCTTTTCACCAAGTTTTCTTTAATTGGTTATTTTTAGGTATATCTAATTGCTTATCAGCGTGTTTTATAGGTTAGACAAATGACGTTACAGGTGAATGAAACTGAAGGTAGTAATCATTCACTACCTTCAGTAGTGAATGAAACTAGTAAAAGATTGAGCTTGCTAAATTCGTCATCATCAAATTTTTATTAATTAACATTGTTTTCAATACCCGATATCCCAAACGCATCCGTTTAAGCTAGTCTTCACTTCTTCCTACTATTGATCGTATTTTTATGGCATAACAAGAAAACATTAATCAGAAAGAGAATATTTAAAGTTGTGATAGCTTGGGTGCTTTTGGGCCTTACATGTTGTCCATTTTGTAGTAAGATAATATTTTGTAATAATTGTGTATTTATTAATCAGAGCCAATACAGGGATCTTTTTTCGCTCAGAGCTAACTGAGACTTTAAGAACAAATAACAACACAAAAAACGCAGAAAGTGGCTCCAATTAAGTTGTCTGGTGCCTAATGTTAGTATATGTTTAATACTGGGAACAGCTATTAATTTCTCTATCTTACATTGATTACAAGCAAATTAGTTTGCCCAGATAAATTAAGTTGCCAAATTCCTTTATAAGCTATTTATTGTTGAATCGCAGTTTCATGTTTTTGTCAGTATAGTTTTTTTTTTTACTGCAGAGATTTATTATAAAGACAATTTTGAAAATTGCTTCATGCAATGACCGTTGATCCTATATGAATCTTGACTTTCAGTGTTAACTTGTTGCTTATAAAAGAATTTTATATTTCTTGTTTGTAATGTTGAATGGTAATTTAATGCAAAAATATTAACAACGTTATGTTTTCAGCTTGGTCGGTGTTGTACTTTGCGTTATTACCTGTATTATTACTTTTCTTTACTACGTTTTTGGTTGCTCGAAAAAGTCTGCAAACTTCTTCATATGAGGTTTCAAACACAAGTAAAATTTTTACTTCAAATTTTTAATTTGATTCCACAAATGATTTTGCCTAAGTTTAAATGTATCGTATTCATGATCTTTTTATTTCTTCTTTATTCATATTAAAAAGAAAAAAGCTATTTTGTGGAGGTACTGCTAGTTACATTTAATATTCTCATGTTTTTAGTAAAATGTTGCGTGTCGATTTGCTTACCATTCCCATTTGTAAATATTTTAGGTAATCATCGTCATCATCGAAAGAGAAGACGTTTACGTAAAGCTACAGTTAATTCTGAAAGGAGATTGAATGAAACTAAATCCAACGGATATGTCAAAGGTAAAAATCACCTATCTTGTTAATATATATGGTTTCAAATAAGTTGTTTTTTTTTTTTTGTGGAGGTATCCTTAACTTTATTCAGCACTCATTCATATATTTATATTACTTGTTTTCTATCCTTCAAATCTTTATCAAGTTTTCAATTTTTATTTATTGTGGTTTCTTTTAACTTTTTGGAAATTACAATAAACGAAAATCTTACATCTCCTTATTCACCACTTCCAATGCGCTGGTCTTGTAATGCATTTCTTACAAGCATTAATGTAATCTATGAAGTATTACTGCTATAAAGAACAGCTTGAAATTGATTTGCTTCCTCCAGAAATGGCGATTTTAACATGATAATTAGACATCTAAACAACTTTTATGAAATTCTGTATAAAACACTCTCCAAAGAGGCAGTAGAAGAACAAGCAAATATTCTGGGCAATTGGGATGTGCACCATGTATAGTTCATTCAATTTAATACAACTAAAAAGTTCAACTTTTCTCGAAATTTTTACCACCTAAGACAACCTAAGTTCTATTTTATTCGTCATTCTATGGATCATCTTTATCAATCATTTTTTCCACCTATACACAAATTAGCAGGTAAATTGAAACAATAGCAAATGATAAAACAGTTTTATTAGTCCTCGAGAATGAATGGTCTTGTATAGTACAAATAGGAAAGCGTTTAACGTTTAACTCTTTCAGTATTATATAGTTTGATTTTTGCCTGTTTCGCAGTGAAACCTGCGATCAGATGTTAGAAATAAATGTATTTGTCGGAGTTGTAGAAGTGAGAAGTAATAAATATAGTGAAGATGAAAAAGTTGTTAAAAAAAGGATGTTAAAAAGGCTTTACAGAAACTAAGCGAGAGTAGAAATGTTAGAAAGTTAGAAATGTTAAAAAAAAATTTTAGTTGGAAATGAATAAAAAAAACTTAAACATACTGGTCAGCTAAAGGTTGCTTTTTTCATTTAAGCAATTTTCTCAATAGTTTTTTCATAAAGATGTTTGAATATTAAGGTTATATTCCATTATGATCTACGTTATGGTTTTAAATTTATCCTATTTGATTAGCATTCAGGCACTGATCAATGCTTTCCTTAATCTGGGCCAGTTTTTGATATCAAAGTTCATGAAGATAGTGTAAGAATGCTTTTAGTTAATTAGTTGCTATTTTTAAGGCAACAGGGATAGCTCATCCTACGCGCTACTACTAGCTGCAGAAAGTTCAAGCTCGGAATCCAAAACAAGCAAATCATCGAAGAAATCGAATTCAAGCAATCGACGATTCATTTCGAATGCTCAACGTTTCACTGCTGCATCCTTTGATTTCGCTTAACAAATCTAAACGTTGTGTTGTGATTATCTCTTTAAATAATTTTTTTCGGTTAGCAGTTTTATCTTTTTTTCATGTGTTTTTTGTTTTTCAAGAGTTTCATAATTTTATATTGGTAATACATTCAATATTTTTCCATCGCGCGGGGAAGGATTTGCTGTTCGGTCTTAGAATTTAATTGAAATCCTTTGAAGATGTATAATTTAATAAGCCAATGTCCTACCTGAATACATTGGTCCCTAGTCGCTGGCTATTCTATAGTTGCTATAAATTATGTCAGTTCATCTGATTATGTTTATATAGAGTGAAGTTTTATATTGGGCGATATGCGTTTTAAAAAGGATTTTTAATTTCATAGATTTTGTTTTAAGACAGTTGAATCTTTTATTATCAATTTATTTGGAGTACCTGCGTTGTGCATCCAAGTTAATAATTCATGGATTTAGCCAAGAATTGTTTCCAGTGCCCCCTTAATTGAATACACAACTAAGTTTTGGCATCTGTGTTTTCGAAATTTTATGTTTTTCCATATTTATTTGCTTTAGTTCTCCATAATAATGATTCATTTAATTATAATTTTGCAAAACCGGTGGCTTTATTATTTTCTTTACCGTACTTTCTCCATAATTAGTAAAGAAGTACTGATTTTTGGAAGTTTAACTTTACGCTGAAATTATTTTGATGTTGTTGGAGGAATTCAGTATTGTGGCATGATTCTTTTGATAGTAAAATACTTTTATTTGCTTAATACTTTTTTATTTGCTTTGTACTTAATAAATTAAATCCTCGGACCTGAAGCAGTAATCACTTATTGTTTTGGTTAAACTTGTTTTTCTTCGTTCATTATGGGTATTTTATTTCAATATATTATACTTTTTTCTCCGTCTTTATTCATATTTTATTCGCTGCATACGAATGGTAATAGCACGTCACCCTGAATTATATAGATAGACTCTCCATATTTGAACCAATCCATATAAGATGAATGAAATAATATTAGATAATCTCATGATGATTTTTTTCCATTATAAAATTGTGTTCATGCACACGATTCAAATTTTGTTGAAAAAGAAAAACTCATATCTAAGTTTCACTTCTCCAATGAAATGCTTGAGATTCAAAAATTTTAGGAACTTTCATTCATCAGATTGTGTAGTGTCTGCTACTCAATTTAAAATATATGATGTTATTGGAGTTCATTTTAAGTGGGGTGTGAAGTTTCCTTAGATTTTCCTCTTGCTATCAAACAATTCTCTTTATTGTTTTATCCTATTTTGATTTCCAGGAGTAAAAAATTAATTTCCGTTTTGAAAGCACTAGATAACAATCTCGTTGTACGAAGTAATTTCTTTCATTGTCGACTGTCGGATAAAGCCGAAGAATTATCGCGTTAGAGGATTATCGGTCTTAGATGCAGTGATTTTTGTCCTAACCGTTATGAAAAGATTAAAAATAAGCTATGAAAGAAATTAAGGTTTGGAGGTAAGAATTGTTGGGAATTAGTGACGAGGGTTTTTGTGATTCCCTTTCAAGTTTGAGCTGCAATGTTCTAAAAATCTGATTTATTTCTATTAGTTCAGTTATTTAAGAATTTCAACGAACTTATGACAACTTGTTCGCTCAATCATCAAATCGTTACGGTCTGTAAAATTGGCCGTTAATGTTGAGTGGAAATCACAATGTTGGAAGCATCGGTTCCAACGGTGAAGGATCACTGTCGAGTGATTATTTATGTTAAGCAATTCGGTCCTCGATCACCGGCTTTGTTTAATTGCCTTTTGGAACGATTACAGCGAGTACAGTGCTTGCAAGGTTTTATTATATATGTTCATAATCGAGAATGGTCCTTTTAGTTCAGTCCATTTAAGAGAATCAACTACGAATATGTGAAAAAAATTACAAGTGGCCATAATAACAGCGGCCACATTTATGTGAAAGATAATACTTAAGATGCCAAGTTAACTCTAATGGCATCTATAACTGATAGACCATTAGAGTTAACTTAACATTTTAAGTAATATCTTTCACATAAACGTTAATTTGTTGAATCATTTGGCAACTATTCTAATAGCCTCTCAGTTATACCCACCATTTAGTGAAAGATATTGTTTTAATGCCAAATTAATCAGATATTTCGATGCGTTTTTGTCATTTCTAGTGTTAGAAGCATTTACACATAGCAACATGTAATACATTTATCAAAGAAGCTAACACTACAAAACTACGGCTTTAGAGAAATAAAGCTGAGTATTATATCATGTGTAGGATTAGCTCAGTCGATTCAAAAAAGCTTTACAAAATTCAGTCTGTAGCATTCCTTCCTGCCTTCCCCAATGAGCGTTCCGCTATTTGTCCAAGTATGAGTTTTAAGCAAAAAATAAATTTTTTTCAATATTTTTTTTCTCTTCTGTTTATTTTCTAATCACTTTTGCAGTATCGGATAACCCGAAAAGGATTTTCGTTGCTGATTTTAGTGCAACAATTAATGCAGATTTGATCAGATTTGGCGAACTTCAGGTTAATGTTTTTTGATAACATTAAAGATATGTTATATTTCGTTTTAAGATTTTCTGCTCGAATACTCTTTGGCTTTTTTTGTTTACTTAATAACTGCGACACAGTTTGTTTATTAAACCTTCTCACCGTAATTTGTTTGATTTGCTTGATTAAAATAGTATACGACTGAAGTCAGTCTGATTTTAAAAAGAAAAGACTACAGGATTCTTTGCCTAGTGACTTGTTTCCTAACAAAAGTCATTCCAGGCTCATCGTCGCATTATTGGGTTCATTGGCGTTGTTCAAGCGCCAATTGAAGATGAGGAAACAGAACTGTCACAGCTACTTTCCGACATAGATGTAACAGATCTTCAAACTGACGATTCGAATCCAAAGGCATATTATCTTGCAAAAATCAAGGAGCAATATGATTTTGTAAAGGTATCACTTATTTAAAGGAGAGAGCTACTATTTTTCAAAAGAATTTGGAAAGAGTCAAAACATTCAAAAAGGTAATTATATCTCAAGTTCGATTTCAGAAAAGAGGGATTCGATAATTGAGGAACATGAATCGTTTAAATGATTACTTGTAATAGCTGTAAAAAAGAATTGTTAGCGGAAAAACTTTTTCAAAAAATCACAAAATATCAAACATCAGTTTGAAAACATTGCTAATGTCATTTATAGGCTGAGTACGCGTCGACTGTTGTGGATTCGCGATGTATTGTTATCGGGTATCCAGAAGTATGTTTTTTTGCTTACTTGAAGATAGTCATCCGAGAAAAAAGAAAGGAAAGGTCATTTTCTAGTATTTTTGTAAAATAATAGAGATTTTAAAATTTTATGAGGAATTGGTTCGAATTTTTCATTTACTAGCGTCGATGTCGTTAGATCCAAAGTGGAAACTGCACTTCTTTCTTTGTGCCTAATGAAATCCAAATTAATCTTTGGCGATAGAGAGAAAGAATTATCTTAATAGGTTATTTACTCAAGAAGTTAAAAATCAATTGGAATTTCTGACTTTTTTAGAATTTCTGACTTTGACGAATTTGATACGATCATAACTGAGGATCTTAATTGATCTGACAACATATTCCATTATTTGAAATCGACTATTATCTACAGGAATCTGTGGAAGGATTTTGTTCTTCGCGAGAACTGTTTTGTTTTAAAACTCTCGATGATGCGGATTCACTGGAAATGGGTATACGAGATTTTTTACGCTCCATTTACTACGTTCTGGAAAGTCGTCGACTTGATCTTTCCTTCGAAAAGCTGGAATTCCCACCATGTCCGGCGCTAATTGACGAGCAAAAATACCGTCATGGTCTGGAAAATAAAACCAGCAAAACATATAGGTCAGTGCGTTTAATATGTGCACTATTCTATGTAATGAGACATGTTTTTCTCTGTCACCCACTAATGTCTTACCATCCACTTTCTTTTCTCTGTTTTTTGCCCTATCATGACGTGTAAAAGCTTATTTCTTTGATTTTTTTTGGTTGTTCTTTGCTGCTAGTTTTTCAAAGTATCGAGTACTACAAGCAAAATCATTTTTAGATGTAATCTTTCATGAAGAGTACAGTAACTTGCTTATTCATTCCCAATCAGCTCACAAAAAAGTCTATTTTTAAAAAAAACGAATTGCATTTAGGAAAAAGTGTATTGGTCGCCTGCGGAAACAAGTTGCTGATTACACACTCATAACGGGACTGCCTACTTTAGCAATGGATTCCTATCAGTCAGCGATAGAATTCCTCAAACAGGCTAACGATTTGCTTTGGCTTGCTGGTATGTGTCTTTAAAATTTTTTATGGAGTTCTCTTATGACTTTTTCAGACATTTTTGATGCTTTTATGTGAAAGATGAAATAAAATCCCATCAATCGGCTTTGTGGATCCTTGAGGTCAAGATCATTTTCTGAAGTCTGTAAGCATAAATGAATAAAACTGATTAGAAAAGTTGATTAATGGCTTACTAATAAACAAGAAATAATCACGTTTATATAAAGATATGATTCACTAAATCCTGAAAATCTTGGCTGATTGCTGTTTCTCTCGATGACATACCTGTCTTTTACGAGTGTAACTGAATATGTTTTAGCTGCTTACGAAGGTTGGGCTTGTGCGGTGATGGTAGCAAAGTATGATCTAACAGAAGAAAGTTCTTCTATTAGTGGAATACAACGAATTTCATCGATGACTTCCGAACAGATTCTTGCTGCGCTTAAAACGAGCCAGTATGGTGCAGGGTAAGTTTTTCTTTAAAGAATTTCCAACATTTTGAAATTAAAATTAAATAAATACCGGAAGTTCTTGAGCTCTAATAAACTAGTTAGTTATTGTTTTCAAGCGGTTTTGCAACCTAATAAACTGAAATAAATATGAAAGAATAAATTAGCAAAATGGGATGCTTTATTTCAGCTATATTATATCTGTAATATACTCTTCCAGTGCTTCGACTGGACATCAGAGACATTGGTCGGATGAAGAATGTACATTAAAGACTTTTTCTCGGTTGGGAGAAGTTCAAATTTTAGATGAGCGTTCTCTTCGTCAGTCTTTTCGATTACGTTGGAGTGGATCAGCTTGTGATAAGTTAGACATTATAATTGGAACTTATGTCTATTGTATGTTGAGAAACTTTTTGAAGCTTCCAAAAAAATCGTATTTCTATGAATTTTTTGAAAATTAGTTAGACCATTTTCAGATTCGTTCTGTCTTTTACATGTGCTGGACGGTTTTCTTAAATCATTGTTATAGATCCGGGAAGTGTGGGACCAATTATTTAGAGATTGTTGAAAAATTCAAAGCTGCACTGGAAAGCTACAAAAGATTTTCATTTGCTGCATGGATCGAATATGAATGCATGATGAAAGCTGCTTCTGTTTTTCGATATCAGCGTTTATATGTAGATATGGAGGTTTGTGATTTCCATAGAAGGTTGAGAAAAATTTTTGATTAAGTTTCAAAGTTCGAAGATTTTTTTGATCGGAAAATATATGAAAAGCATTAGTGGGAACATTTTTATATCCTATTAACAAGGTGTATTGCTCCTATGTAAAAAAACGTGTTGAGGATCTGACTTGTAGATTGTGGTTAGTAGTTTAGTGTGTTACTTCTAGAAATTCAGGCCTATTGAGCATAGATTATTCAGTCCAAAATTTGCTGAATATTTCCTGCTGTTTAATATTTTAGGGTTTCATAAGAGAGCATATTGGTAAATATCTTGATGATAGTTTTAATCAGTTTGGTCATTTCACAAAAGCTATGATATGTCTCAATTCTGCAGAAGTATACCATAAAGTTAGTGCTATTTATGAACTTTTTTCATGGATTTTTATCTTCTGCATGATATTTGATTACTCTGAGCTCTATGGTATGAAGAAAATTTAATTATCCAATAAAATAGCGCTTTTAGCAGATCTCATGAGTCATAAGTCATTTAAAAACATAAAAATGGATGATACGCGATGATATTTCAGATTGGTTTTAATCGAAAATCTGCATTTTTTGCTCGTCTAGGGGTTTTGTTTCGCTTACATATGGTGGAGAGCGGGAGTCGCGGTATTGCGGACTACCGACAAGTGTATCCAATATTATACAGAACCTTGACGGGTTATGGGATACCTGAAAATCCAAAAGAATTCCCAAGTGATTTAGTGAAATTAGGACCAGTACATATTCAGAGAAGAGCTTTGCATGAAGTTTTCATGAGCGCATTGCGCGCTGAGTACTACGATGCAGCTATACGCCACCTGTGCTATATTTTACAGGTTTTCAATACGATCTTTTGATTTCATTATTTTGTTTTTTCTTCAAATGTTACACTGACAGCCTAACAAGCAATGGAACAATCCTTTTCAAATGAGTAAGGTAAGGGTAATGGAGAAAGGAGAGGGAATTTATACGCATTTGTTCCTTACTTGAAGTTTGAACAACACTGAAAGCAGTCGTTTTTCGAAGGTTGAAAAAACTATTCAGGCGTTTTTTGATTTCCCAAATAAGCAAATATGGAACATTCTCAAAATTTGCCATCTGAAAGAAGAGGAAATTGAACTCTATATTTGGAAAAGATTTCAAACATTGTTTTCCAGTCTGTTATATTTACTCTTGTTTTTCATAAAAAATATGCTTATGAAAATTTTCATTCATTTTTTAAGGTCTATTACGATTATATGGATCAAGAAACATCCGAACGAATGCTTGCAGAACTGACCAAACTAGTAGCATCGCGAGATGTTCAACACCAGCTCAGTCAGCACATTTCGTTACCACAACATGGACTTATCATACCGCCAATTCAGATGATGCGTTTCCCGAAGCTTGAGTGCAGTTTCTAATTCAATTTTTCCCATTTTAGAAAATGATATATCGATTTTGGTATCTTCGAAGAAATTAAAAATGTTATTCTTTGTCATTCAAGTCAAAATTAATTTGATAAATATTTCATTTGCGTGTCACTGTAAAGAGTTCACAGCTATTTTGCGCTTTTCTTTAATGAAAACTGTGTCATTTTATCATTGAGATACACCCTAAAGTTCAATATATAGGAAGTTCGCTGTTTGTCCACTTCCGAGACATCTTGCCGCAACGATTATTCGGCCCAAGCTTCACTCCGACATATTCATTTATTCCCCGTTTCAACATGAAATTGTTTCAAAAGGTTTCTTAAACTTTTTTGTTTATAATTTTTTTTTGTTAGAAATAAATGGAATTAAAATATCATTTTTCAGGAAATTTATGAAATTGTAAATTTTTTGTTGTCAAATTATCAATTCTGCAGTCACATGGGTTCAAGATTGCGCTTGCGAGGTTTCCATATCGGTAATTAATTGTCTGCCATGCGAACTATCTGTATCCAATCTTGCTTTACTTTCCGAAGGTTGCGCCTTTGAGCCAATTCCTGTCCGACTCACTTTACCTGCATGTGGTAATAATACAGAAGCTGTGGATTTCAAACTCATTGGAGTACCCAGGCGAGTTTATTGTTTTCTTTGTCTCTAAGCTGGATATTCTACAAAATATACTTCTCCAATGTTCAGCTCCTGACTTTTTTCTTTGGAAACTTTGATGGAAATTTAAAATTCTCACGGTTTCCATAAATAAAAGCTGGCTATATTTTGACAATCTGAAAATATATTTCTATAGGCTGGAAATTTTTCGCTGCATAAATTGAAGGAGGAAGGAAGGATCATACAAGTTCGAGATTTCTGATGCATTGCTTTTGAGTTCGAATCATATATTAATTGTTCCAGGGAATCGGGACGACTCACTATAACTGGTTATTCGTGCGAAATACTTGGTGTGCGTAATATTTGTAGATTACGAGATTTTCCTGAACGTGTAAAATCTAAAGGCTTTCTCTCATCAGTGTTTGATATTGAAGTTGGTTTGTTTGTTTTTTTGCTCTTTTGGTTTAAACTACATAGAAACAGGAACGGGGATGTGGAGGACAGATGAAACTTAGAGAAGAAACAAATCTGGAATACGGTAACGGGAAATATTAATTATTGCAATACATTTTATCTCATTTATTGTAGGTATTGCCGGCTTTACCTGTTTTGGAACTAAAAACTTCATTGAGTCGAGCTCCGATCTCTGAAGATGATGTTGAACCAACCGCTGAAATAACTGTTTATTCTGGACAAACGTTTTTTTTTGTCTCAAAATCATTCTTATATTTTAATCATTCAAATATATTTTTGTAACCATTTCATGAAAATATCTGAGTAGAACGGAAGGAAAGAAGTGGAGAGGAAGGAAGCGAGAAATATTTTCCAAATAAATTTCAAATAAGCTGTGTTTTTTTGTACCTTCTGATAATCACTCTTCAATAGTAATTTCGGATAGAAATTGACAAAACTTATTTCTAATTTGTCTTTTGTTATGTCATAAGATGCACAGTAGTATTCAGTGATAAAGCAATAATTTTTTCAGCTTTGAACACAGTGTATCGTTGGTGAATACTAGTAAAACTATTACAATACGGGATGTAAATTTAGTCATCCGACAACCGAAGGTATGCCATTCCCTGAAATCTAACAGCAGGAATTCATATTTTACATTTTAAAGTGTTGATGACTTATTTTTTCTTTTTTTTACAGGGGTGTTAGGCTTTACTTGTAGGGCAATACTTTTTAGTTTAAATTTCGAGATACCTAATTGAAAAAATATGAGGCGATTCTCCGTTTCGTGAAAAACTTGGAAGTTGATTTTATAAATATGCACTCCATTAAGGATCTTCGATTCATCGGATTCAGCTTTTCAACATTGTGTTTGGTGAATCAAAGATGGCTAAAAATGCATAGGAGAAAGAATCATAGTTTTTCTATTCTTTTAGGTTTGCGGTGGTCCTTGTATGATTGAAATAGCAAGCACTGAATGGCTGGAAGATAATGGTAACATTGTTCAGTTAAGGCGGATCGAACCTTTGGAAAGGAAACAGATCAAATTCAGGTAAAACTTCGATGTGTTGACAGCTAGCTTATATTTCGATTCGTATTTCTTCAATTTTTTTGCAGAACTTCGTTTGTTGCGAGAACTCTGAATAGAATATAAAATTCAGTACTTTTAAATTCTTTTGTTCTGAGTAGTATTTCTTGAACTTTTATCTTCATAAGAAAAATGTTAAGTGTTGCAACATTTTGCTATCATCACAGAATTTTTGGAATTGATCCGTCGGCTATGGCTGAAGATGGTTCACAGAAAGAGCGAGATAGTGAAGCAGAGGTTTCTATATGTGATGCTCCATCTACAGAAGAAACGCATGACCGAATACCGTTTACAGGGGTGTGTAACGATCTTTTCCATTATCAGATTAGAATCATTAAAACGAAATAAACATAAGAGAAGTCCAGAATTCATAGAGAAAAAAACCCTAATGAGCTCCATTTATCGATTCTTTTACATTTTATTCCTCGTGATTTGTATAGTAAAAGTAAAACAAATAAATATCCCTTACAAGTCTTATAAATTCGAATTCAAAATAATTTTTATGACGTTAAAGCTCGCAATCTTCTGTTTTACTTCCTTTTTAATTTCAGAGATTATTGACTTGTGAATTCATTTTTTTTTATCGAGCTGACATCGATGGTCCTAGTGGAGAAGTAATTTTTATGATTTCTTAAAGTATTATCTTCTCTGTAATTTCAATTTGTCTTCCCCAAGCGCAAGCAAAAAGTCAAGAATAAAAATGAATATGTATAAGGAAGGAATGGAAATGTTTTGATTTTTCACAGCAGTGAAAACTGTTAAATGAATTTTGAAATCGTGAGAAAAATCTCAGAAATATACGATTCTAAATCGCGTTAGTTCTATTCAGTGTTTTGTAATAAAATTAAGGAATATAATTTTTAGCATTACGAAAGACGATGTCGATTACCTTTGGCGGTATCAATCGTTCCTGCGGTAACAGTTGCTGCTTGGCACGTGTTACCTGGTGATGGACCGACAACGAGATATGTAGTTGTGGATGTGACAAATAATACTGAATGGGATGCTGAACTAACTTATGGGAAAGATAGAGTTATCAGCGTACAGCCGAAAGAGTTTTGCAGGTAATTCACTTGTTTAGAATCGTACAGACGCTCAAGTAGAATGATAATTACTGCTGGTAAAAGTTTTTCTCCAATTTTTTCATATTGTTTTCACCACTTCGCTGATGCGCCTTGATTTTTTGTGTTACTGCTGCACCTTGATGCTTTTCTATTAAACCACTTAGACAGAAAGACCTGTCTGAAAAAATTAATGATTTGGAATTTGCACTAGATTTCAGATGCAAAAAGAGGTTGCATATTTTCCTTCCTTTTTCAATCTCATTAAAATCGAGTTATCAATACGACCTCAAAAGTTAAAATTTCTCACCTTTGTTGGTTTAGCTTCTTTATAACCTTAATATCCTTCATTTTCTCTTGAAGAAATGAGATTTTCAATTGTTACTTTCTCAGAGTACCACTTCTGTGCAAATGTTGTTCTGAAGTGGCATCGAATGCATTTCAAGAAGCAGCCAGCCGAGCATCTCATATGATGCAAATGCAGGAAATGGAAAGATTACGTCAAATTCTTGAACGTCATGTTTCCTGGCATCTGGATATTCGTTGGTCTATCTCCAGTTCAAATCTTTCAGGATCAGTACCCGTTGGACCCTTACTCTCTTCCGTTTCACTTCTCAAACAACTTGTTGTACCAGTGATTTCTATTCGTAAGTATTTTCTTCATTGATCAACAATTTGTTCTGTTTTGCTTAAGATTTATGCTCTCTGATTAATAATGTTTCGTTTAAATAATCGCTTATAAAGCGGATATTAGTTTGTTAGTTATGGATTGCAGATAGATTCTCTATAAATGTTTGTTTATAGAAAACTTTTTTAATGGGAAGTGAGTTTTCAGACGTTTCTTTCTCTAACTACTGCTCCGAAAATGTTGTTCAAAATAGCATTGAATGGAAGGCTTAAAATTTACTAATTTAATATTATTTTCATGCGGTGTGCTCCTGGCACTTTTAGAACTGCGAACATAATATCGATATGTTATTCTATTAATAATCATTATCTATAATAGAACACCGTAATAAATTAGTAATCAGATCAGGAATTTCGTATTGCTTTCAGAAATAGAATAATGAAAATGTTTTATATCTTTGAATTAATTTTTAAAGTTCAGAGGCTAGTATCAATGGAATGCTGTTCTTGAGTGACGATGAAATTACTGTTGGCATCGGTGAAATAGTCGAGCTCAGTTTAAGTTTAATTACTCCTACAAACGGTAACGTTCGCAAAACTTAAAGTTTATTTGTTTCCTCTTGTTTCTACTGTAGCTAACTAACACTGAAGTGATGGTAGTGCTATTAAGTGCTGTTTTTCTAATAGTCACAATTTCTTGATTTTGATGTTGTAATAAAGAAAAAAAAAGTCATTTAATCCTTTTAAAAAAAGCATTAGTGTCACAAATAAAATTTTTTAGATACTCGCTCATTTGGTGGTTTAATACAGCTTCTGTGTTACCGCGATTTACAAAATGGATCCTTCATTGAAAGTAACGATAATATGATTGTGCTAAATACTGAAAGTGTACCATTTCAAATAGTGCAGGTATTTTACATCACTCTTTTTTGTACAGTTTATAATTTTTATAATACCACATTTATACGTTCTGCAGCATTTTTTTTCTGCTCCTATTGAAAGTCTTTGGAATAGGATAACTAACATTTTCTTTCTTGTCCGGGCTTTTTTGCTATGCTCTGTAGATGGTTGACAATTCCCGTGACGGAAAATATTTTTTTTTAATTAAAAGCATTATAAATTTAACAGGAAGAAGAGATTGAAATAGCTACTGTATCACCTTCGGATACCATCTCGATCGAAAATGACTATACACCAATAGCAGCTGCTAATTTCAGTAACGAACCTGTAGAACGAGTGGTAATTCGAGAAGCATTTCATGCTGATTTCCAACTTTTGTTTCGCCATGAAGGAGCGCATAAGGTGGTTCTCTTTTAGATTTTAAAGACTGAAATTTTAAAACTATCATTTCTGAAAAGAAATAATGGCAAGAAATAATTGGATGAACTTTTGAAGAGTTTTTATTACAGATCAGGCCGCTCATTATTCTGAACGACAAATCACCTATAATTTCGCCAGATGAATTATTTTATTGTGCCATTTCGTTCAATGTGATCACGAAGGTTTCATGACATTAATAACTCATGATGTTCTTTGGGTCATTGTACATCCCCTTGACTTTTCTCGTTTTATGTAGATTTCCCAGTATTTCACAAAACACTATAAAGTTTTTGCTCAGTTCGCTGTTTGACATTAAGCAGTAGTGCAGCTCTGCATGGAAATAGAATATTTGGAAGCACTTGAAAAACTGAATTTAATGAAGTTAGCAATCGTTTCGGGGAAGCTGGCACAATGCTACTTAGGAATAGCAAAGTTCTATATAATATTGAAGTCTTGCTCAGACTTTCAAGTCTGTTAGAACAAAATGATTCAAATTTCTAATGAAAATAGGCAGTTTTATGAATGTTTTTGATATATCTAAACTAAAAACAGCACAGTTAGATATCGTAAATATCTTTCTAACATTTTACAGATGTTTAAAAACTGAAAATCGAATATCTAGGATGCAGGAGAGTGAATCCTAAATTAAATTTACAAACCCGAATTTTTAAACGTTTATGATAAAATTTTGTCTGTGTGTGTAGCGGACTGAGATTTTGTTCAATTGGTTTAGCGTGCATGCGGAATTTTCGTGTGATGTAGTGATGATGACTGTTGAAACTTAGCATGATGGGATGGTAATTTCGCTTCACAGAGACAGTTTGCTCCATCATTATTATGAGATATTAAAGAGATATTGCTGTCTTATAATAATATCTCATAATGATGGAGCAAACTGTCTTTTGTGGCATTATCATTGTCTCTGTAAAGCTTCATTATTATTTGGAGAGACATATGTGTGATAACATAGTGCCATAAAAATGAAACCAAGGGAAAATAAAGCTAGGAAAATGAGTGGGAGGCGATATTCAACTAGGGCTTGAAATTCCAAATCTCGAGGAATATATAAATTTACTCCCATTTATTTCATTCAGCGATAGATTATTTGTACCAAGTTCTATTGGAATAAATAAGCAAAATAAAAATGCTATTTATCTTTCAAATTGTACATTGTTAATTCAAATGAATTGGGAGTTGGCTGTTTCTATTTGCCAAGTTTTCTTGATCGTTTCTATGAGCAAGCGTTCATTGATTTATATTTATCCGAGATTAGATAAGAGGAAATTGGGCACAATCGTTGCGAAGTATGTTTCGGCTTTCAAGATTTACAAACATGATTAAGTTTAAAATTGTTGGCAAATATTTCATGAAACCTAATCATTTGTATGAAAGGCTTGTTGCAGTAAAAGGATTTAACTTCAAGCTATAAAATGAATGGTACTTTCGAAAGTGCATGCTGGATCAGAATTGACACGTATCATCGTAGAGCTGTGATAGAGGAACGTGGAATATGTAGAAAAGTTTGCAAGAAATCAACCAAACAGCTGAAAATTATTCAAACTATATTTTGTAAAAAGAAAGCAGCGGCAAAGACCAAATACGACTTCTTGGTGAGTTTTACATCCTCAGTTTGAACAAGATTTCCTCCTTTATTCCTCAACTCTGGAAATTAAAGCATCGCATATGAGACTTTCTTTAGAATACCGATTATTTTCGGATGGATATCAAGTTTTTTGAGAATTTGTCATTCTTTCCGGTTGCAGCGTACGTTATGTAATGCCGAGAATACTTTGCTATTCCTCACTGCTGCGGTGACGAATGGTACCACTAAAGAAGTAATGCCATAGTAAAATACTAGATGGATAGCACTAGATAATTATTTTCAGTTATAACTGAGAAATAACTGAGAATAATTATCTGAGGATGATTATGGTCGATTACGATAGCTTTTTAATAGGGATTGTTCATGCGAAATCATTTGTTAGAAAAGTTTTAAAACAGCCAATTTGACATAGTGCTTTTCATCAATTCTTCGTAATTCTTTTTTTGTGACTTTCAATATTTTTCATTATTTGCTGTTATTATTTCAAAAATATTATCACAATGCATTTTTCTTTTTTCCTAACTCACTTCATTTATGGAGCGGAAAAAGTCAACTTTTCCATAATCAAACTACGACAGTAATTATCCATTTTAGATTGAAAATTGTTCACAAATATTCACACAACATCAATCGTGCCTTATTCAAAACATTAGCTACGATAGTTCATCAGATGCTTTTCCTGTGCAACTTAAACTTCATCGATGTCGAAAACGTTAAATTCTGTACGAGAATTTTACAGCAAACAAAAGATGACGGTGTTAATTTTCGAAACATTATCATATATGATATATGCTAAATGGAATAAGGAAATGATGTGAAAATAACTAATTTCGTATATATACCTCTAATTGTATCATTATGTATGTTAAATTTAATTCGGATCAATTCATCAGATATAATCAAACAAAGTATTGTGAACACAATAAGATCATTATATATTTGATTTATCATGCAAAAAAATACAAATTGGCAGTTCTTACTTCAAAGAGAAAACAAAAAGGCAATAGATAAAAAACATGAAGTTTACGAGCATTTCACAGTAATGCAAATAATTTTTCCGCATTTTGGCGTCTGACAACATCTTCTCATGCATATTACTGATCTCATTTTGACGGTGTTTGACGACATCTTCTCATGAACATTAGTAGAGGATGAAGAAAGAGCAAAAAAATGGAAACAGTAATGATGAATGCAAAAAAAGAATATTTCTGTTTAATTATCAAGTATAAATTTTCGAAGAATAAACTAAAATTAGTTGAGCTAATTATCACATTAGTGAGTATGCAAATATGCAAAGTTGATGGTTTCAAATTAAGAATTTCTAACAAATATCTAAAAAGAATTCAACTTGAGCAGTAATTTTTCAATTTCTGATATAAACCACGAAAGTTTCAGCTACATTAGAAGGTAAAAGTTGCATAGGTTAAGAAATTTTTTTAGAGAAGTTCAAGCGGATGGAAAAATCTTGAAGGCAGTTTGTTGAGGCTGAAGAGAGTCAACTTAATAAAGTTTTAAAACCAAGAAGTAACGACGTTAAGCTGGGAATGAATGAAATGGTCTGGTATTAGCTATCAAATCAACGCGAGATAATCGCATTAAAATCAAAATATATACTTCAACAATCCTAGCAAGCGCTATCAGGACATTTTAATTTTTTATAAAATTCCTTCTACTAATCTCTTAAATATAAGATTGATATAAATTTAATGGGAGAAATAGTGAATGCCCATATAATATGCGCAAACAATATCATCAATAAAGGAGAATATTGAGCATTCAAGAAATATGAAGGAATAACAAGCAAATTCAGCATAAAAGACAGAAAAGTTCATTGAAAGCACGATTATATTTATCATAATATCACGGAACAAAACTAATACAAACAAAAAAATATCTTTGCTTTAACCAATTGGTACTTAAATTAATTAGCAATTCCGAAGTTAAGACCAAAATTTCAGATCTCTTTAACAATTTGGCGATAAATTCCAGCTTTATCGTATTCATTCGTACGATGCAACTTCAGATTTGCGATCTAAACGATATGAAACTAATCGAATTTGAAGACCTAAATTTAAGTTGAATTGCTTAAAATACAAGAAATTTCGGTTCTGAAGAAATGGAAAGTCGAAGGATTTATCACGATTAAATATAAAAAATTTCAGCACTGAACAATCATATTTCATATAACCTGATAATTCCGGTGGTAAATTCACTCTTAGTTGAAAATATGTCCAATTCTCGTTTGTGCAGCGGAAGAATTAACATTCCGAAAATATCGTCCAGAGTCCACTCTACTACTGCTATCTGCACCCATCATAGCATAGGGTGAATCAGTCTTTTGTGGGTTGACGAGTGCATACCCGTAAAATCTGCAAGACTACAAAAAGTATCAAACTTCTTCATTTGAACATGTTTGCATCGCACAATCGCTTCAGAATCATCTAATGAATGAATTGCAAATCTTATCAAAATAAGTAGCGAAATTACAACTGATTTTACGTTGCATATAAAATTCTCATGATTTTTGAATTAATTCTAGCAAACAAATAAAATTCAAAGGTTTCATAAAATAGTAAGATTCTTTCTGAAAAAGATTCGAAGATAAAAAACCACAGTCATGAAGGGAATATAGCTACAATTTTGGCCCCTCCAGGGCCAAAATTTCAAAATTAAATTCCTAAGCAAAATGATTAAATTAAAAAAGTAAAAAAAATATACCCTGAGTCAATCTTGTAAGGTTGATCGTAGTAACGCTTCGAAGTCTGATAATAATATGGATTTTCGTCTGTTGACCAATAAATCGATTGTTCCTCCATGTGTCGAACTGGTGACCTCTAAATTTCAGTGAAGAACTTGAAATTCCAATTTCATTACCTTTTAAAGAATGAAATACGAATATTTTGCATTTCTAATGGAGTGTGATGCAATCCAATCTATCGTACTTAATAGAAACATTTTATACAAATTAAAATAGTTGAATTTTGTGAGTTGTTTAGTGCCGCATTTGTAAAAAGTTGAACCAACTGAAGGGTCATTCAGAAACTAACGGAGTTGATATTCGACGACTAAACCAATAGAGTATAATCAGCTAACGGTATGCATTTTCGAAACATTTTGTCTTCATTACAGAAGAATAGTCGAAGCACCGAAATGAGAAAATAATAAATATTTAATTTATTTCAGTTACTAAAAGTAATTACTTGAAGTTGTGGACTGGCCAATGTCTGCAGAGTACCATAGTTGTTTTCTTCGTACAGAATGGCGGTTGATGCCGCACTTGTAAGCTTCCGATGCATTGCGCGTAGGAAGCTAAACCACAAATTTTTATAAAAATTGAAAGATGTTAACTGAAGCAGGAAACTTCAACTGCTATGAGTTTAAAAGTGAGTGAAAAAAAGTTTTTCTTTAAGCTGATAATAAATACGGAAAAGAACAGTAAGAGAATTACACATTAAATAAAATATCAGTAATGAATTATCAATTGATTGTCAGTTTTAGAACTTTCTTGAAACTTCGAAAAAATCTTTCAAACAATCAAAAATTGATGAATTTCCTGTCTTTCTATCGATCATCAAATCAATTTTTGAACAAAAAAGAAAAGCGAGAAAATGGCTAGTACCATAATTCTTCTTTGGCAACGTTGATGCTTAAATTAAATTCAAAAAAAGCATTCCAATACAACTTGCCATCTGTTCGTAGTATTAATAAAATTGCAAAAAACTAGTTTCTTTGGGTATCAAATCTTTCTTTCCTATCGTCAACAAGGTCAAAAAGGTTTTTTTAATCAGAAGGAAAATTAAAAATCAAACCTAAGAACAGCAAATGTGGAACAAAATGTGCAAACGATACAAGCAATAGTGGCAGAAGTAGTTAATATTAATGCCACCACAACAATTACCCATCGAAATCTGTCAACTGTAAACAACAGCGTTGCCTAAATTAAATTTATAAAATTGATACCAATCGTTTATGTTAGATAGCAGTCACTTAAAAATGGTATAGAAGTATAAGAAATAATTAAAACCAGGGGAATAAAGCAGAATTACCAATAAGTAGGTGTTGGATATGGCATAGCTAATCACAAACAAAGCTATCGATCCAGCTATCACATTCAGCACTGTCGCCGAAAGTAAGAATGCCGGAAAACATAGTGATAATGCCTAAATAAAACATTCATGGTAAATTGATAAAACAATAAAATCATAAAAAAACATAATAAAATAATAAAACAATAAAGTCATATAAATAGAAAAGCTGGATAATGGTAAAAGTAGAAAATATTTATTATCAATTGATTTCTAACAAGACAAATGTCTTAGCAAAGAATGAAGTACAAGTAGCTTAGTACCTGCAAGATGGCAATGCCAAATACCAGTAGACCATTGCCCATTTCGAAGAAAGGAATTTCGATCAGCCATTCAGAAAATGCCGAATAACTAAGTATGAATGCAATATGACAACCAGTAAATACTATACCGTATAACATATTGCCCAAAAGCCATATTACATTCATACCTTAATTTACTGATATTATTACCCTTGTTCAGGAACTATGATGCCGAACAATAACGAGCCAGGCGGGTAGATATGAAGTTGAAATTTATTTCTCCATCAAATATCACCTACTGTATTATTTTTATTAAATGTGTGTAATTAGTTGCATATTTCTTCTCATGTTGGTTTCATATTTCAACTTGACGATAAAGAGAGAAAGAAAATTAGTTTGTTTGTCAAAACTTCGTGCGATGAAAGATTTTGTATCATTAAAATTTTAAAATTTCAACTAAAATAACTATATTTCAAGTTTGCCAAAATTAGCATAATAAAGAAATCAAGGAAGGCTAACATGTGGAATGCTTTACTGCTTGACGATATCGATGTCTCAATGCACTACCGTATATAATAACCGAAAATAATGCTGTAAAAGTTTCCAAGAATAGAATCTGAAATAACAATGAATTTATATTTGTTGTTCAAAGTTCGCAAAAAAAATGAAATATTCAATAAATTGTAATTCTGGATATGCTTTAGTGTTGAAGTGCTGAATATTATTCCCATATATGTACTGTAATGATACTAATTTGTTTATAAACTGATTATAATTTTATAATTCTTTTCTTAACGAAATATTTGAAATATTATTTGATTATAAATGCGATTCACAAATTGTCCTTCTGAATAAGATTGCGATTATTAGAAGTTAAAAAGGAATTGTTCCATTGATGGAAAAAGCTCAATGAAATTTATTTGGCTTTTATCCAATTTAAGAGATGAATTCTTCGCCATTTTATAATATAATATTATTTGCAAAGATTTGCTACAATTCTATACAAAAAGTTATTTTTTTATCAATTTAAATGTAAGCATAAATAATGATATTAATGAGACGTACCGTAAGTTGCATACAATGTAGAATCAATCGTCCAATAAATGCATCTTTAGGACCTTCAATAAAGGTAGGATAAGATGCGGACTGGTATGTAAGATTGATACTTGAGCACATCTTTTCTAGAGAGCATGTAAAACAAATAAATCCAAGCAGAAAATGAACTGATAACTTTGAGCTACAATAAAAACAAATTGATTGTTTAATATGATGACATCAATAAAATCAAATTAATTGTTATCATTCTTTGTTTTATTGCAATACCCGATTACATCGGAATAACATCAAAATAAGAAATACATTATTAGGATATTATGAATGCTTGACAAAATTTGACCGAGAATTAATACCACCGATAGAAAATTATTTTATGCAGACCTTCATTTGTTCAGTGATAAATTTTAAAATACAAAAAGACAATTCACACAAAGAGTAATCCTAGAAAACAAACAATTTAAATTAGTAATCATTTAAAAAATTACCCAGAATATGTAACATATAATATGCCCGTAGCAAAGAATAAGACGGCAAGCCACATTAAATCAGCGCCGATATAATTTGCATTCCAGGACACATCGATCAATCCAAGTACCACAAGTGCCAGCAGTAACACCCCCCAAATAAAATGCAACAACCCCAAGCATCTACAACAGCGATTAAACCATTTGCTACTTTTTTTAGTTATTTAATGATCTCGAATAATGAATGATCTATTCCTCTATCCTATCATGAACAAAAATTTTTTTCACCTCTTTTCTGTTTAGCTTTTTTGAATGTCAGCTTCAATCACTTTCATACAATCACAGCTTGTAATAATTAATTCCCAATTCTCCGAATCAATCAATTACTAACAAGCAAACATTGCTTTATTATACATGTATCAAAAATACGTGAACATCTGAGAAGAAGAGCAATTACAACTTGAAAAATAATGCAAACGAACTTGCTCTGGAAATTGACATTCTTTTGGACCATGGAATTTTCGTTATAATACTCGTATCGAATGCATTTACTAGCTTGAACAGCAGACAGTGAATTTAAAATGAAAAGCAATGCAAATAATGCCATTAAAATACCTTCATTGATAATGATCAAGTAAGTTCGATCTATCGTGCCATTAATTTGTAGTGCTATAATTTAGAAGAGCATCAATAACAGCATAGAATAAAGGAATCAGAATCTTCTCATAATGAAATTATTGTAAAACAATGCTGTAGGAATAAGAATCCGAGAGAGATGAGAAAAAACTTCAACCTATAGTCAGGGAAAATGGCAAGACTAACTTTGAGTTCCATTTCGAGTAATTGAGCTTACTCCTCGCCATATCCGAATATCGTTATAATAATAGGGGTACATTCCAATATCCAATGATTTAAGGCACCACACTGCTGCAATCACAGATACTCCGATCGCAACCTGCAAATCGATTCATTCTATTAATTACAAGTTTTTCATATCTGAAATCAGTTATCAGTATAATATGATGTAAAAATCGACAGATGTGCATGCAATTATATTTTCAGGAATATAAAAAAACAATACTTTGTAATTAGCTACGGGTTGCCTGCTGATGACAGCTGAATGCAAGTCTACGATTGCGCTGATAATTGTCAAAAGTGCAGCGATGTGATCAAGAGCGATCAGCACAAACGGATATCGGCTTGATAACTGAAATATAAGTGAAGTGATGATCAAATAAAAGTGAAAATAAAAACTGTTTTGTCAGATTATTTAAAACATTCTGATCTGAGAAATCTAGACTGGATTCATAGGTAACAATTAGCATAGCACTGTTAATAACACGAATAAAAACTAACCATTTGGTGCTCATACTCGACGAAAATTGCCAAAATTAAAGCACATAATGCCAAAAATAATTTTATTGCAGCTAACGTAGTAAAGGCTAGACGATTCGAACGGTATTTCTTATTTTGGTCACGCTTCAAATCATATAGTTTAATTTCTTAAATTTCAAATTCTTACAAAAATTATTCTTTCAAGCGAACGATTATGAATATTATGAAGATTATATTTTCAGCAAAAAAGGTGCAGGATTTACATTAAAAAAATAACTGTCTTGAAAAGTACAGAAAAGAAGCAGGGATTCTGAAAGGTCGAAAAGATCAGATAAAACAACACCCATAAATGATGCTTATATCCTTCAATGAAATGATTGCAGGATTCTGCAATTATAAAAATATCTAGTAACTACTCACCGAGTATTGTGGCCAAGCAGGTTGGCTGACGACGACAAGGCAGTTAAGCAGTGCAACAGCGACGAGTGCTGCTAAACAAGCAATAACTGTCACTAAAATCATAAAAGAGCAGATGACCACCTTAGACGTAAAATTCTCTCTTACATCATCATACTGTATTTCATTTTGATCGCTGGTCTGTTCATGCATCGATTCATCGTGCAGGTGCACTATCTAAGTAATACTTTCACAAGTTACATAACATCGGAAACATGAATATTTCCCATTCATAAATTTAAACATAGAAATTAAGAACTAAAAAGATTGTGAAACCTTATTCCTTTTTTCTACCTTTCTATTCGATTATCCTTTCTAAATATCCTTCGGAAAATCCCATTACTATCATCATAATTACCTTTGAAAGCGTAACACAGTAGAATGCTGTGGAATAAATGGCGACAGCGATTGATACACAATAGACTGTCTTAGCCACAACAATTCCATGATTAGATGACACTGCATGGAGGCCTACTATGCCAGCGAGAACATAAATCCAATTTATCAATCGTAGATCAATTTTTCTAAAACACAGCTTTTCTAAATATATCATTCAAGACTGTTAAGTGTGAAAGATTCAGAGACCCTAAAGAAAATTATGAATCGCTTTAAAATTCATTTATTTTTTACATCATTTTTCAATCACTTAACATCACGTAAAAGAGATGCGCTTTTTGTTGACACTATAAAGTATTAACTGTATGAGAGCATACATAATTCGAATGATTATTGTTACGAAAGAAAAAACTTGAAAAAGAGACTACCGGTAATTGCTGAGAGTAACATCCGAAAATTCACTCACAGCAAGGCCTACAGCTATAAGGCCAACTATTATCAATATGATATTACATGCCTGAAAAAACGTTGCCATAAAATAAAAAATAAATAACTAATCAGGTTCTGCTTTTATTTCATTGTATTTTAGGGTGATGTGTACAATTGCCATGTGATGTATTCAAAAAGGCATAAAAGCGAATCAGTTGAAATCAAACGACATGCTTTAAAACCATTCGGTGCACTAAAACTTGTTTTTCCTATTGTTGCAAGTGAGAATGTTAGATGTCTATAGTTGAATATTTTAATTTAATTCTACAATCGCTTATATTTATAGTTAGCTATTTTATAAAATTGTAAAAGGTTCATTTTATAATAATTATAATTCTCAACTGAAGTTTAATTGAAAGTTTAAAAGTAAAAAATTTAAAGATGAAAATATTTTGGAACCAACTATGAAATCTTTTAAATGAATGAACCTGTATTTGGCAAAAATATTTTGAGCGCGCTGTCATTATTCCAGAAGTTCGCTAATGACCAAAAAGAATTGCAGAATAAATTTGCTGATAAGAAGTAAAATTTATTGATAGGTAATAATTAAAATATAATAATAGCAGTAGTAATATGTGTGGTAATAATAAGTGATACCAATGATAAGTAGCAGCAAATATTACGACAGTTTGCAGATTTTGTAGTGAAAAATTCTGGACAATTTTCAATACAGCATAATTATTCCCTGATGACTAAGTTATCGCAACCTATAAAGTACATTATAGGAGAAAGTGTATAAAAGACAACTAATAATGTCAGAAAATGAAATGCTAGCATTTCAATCCAAAAAGAAATTGATATTGAAATACTGTAATATAAGTAGAGCGTAGCAAATTCCAACGCAACATTTGAAATTATCAATGCTATTCCATAATTCCGTGACTAATTCCAATTCTTATAAAATACATCAAACATATAATATAGCATATCAAAATGTTAAAGCTCAAGCCGCTATCAATACTTTCATTCATGACAGATAGTATACAATATCCGGCATAATGATGAATCAATCAATTTGATTACATTAAGAATTGAAAATGATACGTATAACTTATTTGATAACAAACGCACATAGCCTATAGGTACAAATCAATATAAATTCTATAATAGTAGCACATGGAGAAATTTCCTAAAAGAGTGATTATAAAAGTATAAGCACAAAATTAAATGCTATTATTTATATTTCATGTTCCGGAAAAATATAATTTCCATTTTGAAAAATTCCGAAAAGATAAATTGAAAATTTTGATAAGCATATAATTAGCATATCAGTAATGCAAAAGCAATAGTCAATAGTCAATAATAGTTCAAAATGGAAAAGCAAAAGGGTTATGAAAATTGCATGGTCATAATGCGCCTAATTCTACTACGACTGTCTGTTACTGTTTAATGTCTGTTGTCCACCAATAAAGTTTATGCTATGAAAAAACTGGTTAAAAGGAGGAATGAGAGAGGGATGTAATGGTACGATTTCACTTCAATTCGACTTCAGTATAACATACATTTCCACTAACATCCAACATCCAACGAGGCGTTGTTATATATGAAAAATAGTGAGAGAAGTAAGTTATGTTCAGATCATTCGAAATAAACAAAATTTTATGCAATATCATTTGTATGTGAGAATGAATAACGAAAATTCCAATCATCAAATTAGTTCGGCCCAATGGCCGAATTTTTTGTAACATATTAAAAGGGATGTTTCGGATAACTATAAATCCTGATTTCTCCTAATTTATTCACACGAAATAAAAAGATGAATTGGAAAAAAGTGTAAGACTTCTATTAATTTTAAATAATCAAAAAGCCATGTCTATATTCAATTTATAGCTTATGAAAAAAAAAATTTGTTTTGGAAAATAGGACAGGTATCTAGGACAGGTAGAAGGAGGCTTTAAATAGCGATTGAAAGATGAAAGAGAGCTAATAAAAGTGTAAGTCATAGGATTAATACAGAAAATATTAGAAGAATATTTGAGAAATCCAAAGATTTTAAGAAAGCAATTAATTTTTCGAATTCCTACATTTAAATTTTCCAGTTTAAGATATACAATTCATTGAGGACAACAAGATCGAAATGCGATATAGATTGTGATATTATTGGATTCGGAATTAGCATGATAGTTTGACTATTCACTACGATTGATACGGTTACTATTTTTCAAAAGAACTTGATATTATGCTAAATTATTCAACAGCTGGATAGATTATCGATGGTCAAAGATATCTCAGAAAATGTTTCAATGATGATCAAAGATGGGAATAAATGGGACTAAACTGCTTTTGTTGTATGTAATTCGGCGAAGATGTCGTTCCAGACATATCGTTCCTAACTAATTAGCATAGTAAACAAGTAATCAATTAAGTAATAAATTATTTTATAGCTTTTAAAAAAACCCTAATTTTAAAATCATTTAAATTTTTTACAATGGTGTGCCGCAAATAAAATTCTTCAAGGTCAATCATCCAAATATATTCTGAAATAAAAATTTAATCACATAAGGATCGATTATGCATCTTTTATAAAATGATTGAATAATTCACAAGCATTCAACAAAATGTTATAGTTCTAATTTTTAAAAATGACTCGGAAAAGTATCAACTAATCCATAATTATTTCTATGCCTAGTACAATGGATTTTGATAGCTATCTAATAAGAAAGATAAGAGATAATTTATTTTCGTGAATTCAATTTTATTGGTATTGAAATATGAATGTGCAATTATTTCATTTACTTAATAATAACTTATCACTTTAATGCTAGAACTGACTGGCTTGAAAATTCAACATAATGAAATTCCTATTCGTAGCGGTGACATGCCTAAGCAGCAAATTATTGAAGAAAATCACAACATTCGCCGTTTATACAGTAGAATATGATCCTGTTTCTTTAATTGAAGTATTAGTAGTAATGATTAATTAGCAAATGTGTTTAATTTCAAAAAACATTTAAAGAGATTATTCTAACTACCGGTATTGGCATGGAAAGTTTAAGAGTTATACCAACTGAACTATTCGTAATCATAGGAAACTGTCTTATAAGGAAATGTTCCACACTTGCAATTTCATAATTACTGATGGAATGAGAAATGGCAAAAAGGAAGTAGGAGAGATGTAAAAAATTGTTGGAAAAAAGTGGGAATGGAATGTTTGCCATTTCATTTCCCAGAACAGAATGCTTATTTTTTTATAAAGATTTTTTTGGAAAAATCTTTATCTGAAAAGCAAAGAAAAGTGAATGAATAAAATTAATGGCAATTATAGTTAAAATATTCATATCGGTGCGATACATATTGGAATAAAAAAATGGTAACATTTATTTGATCGTACTTCTTACATTGAAGAATGATTGCCTGCCTGCTTTAAATATTAAAGTAGCAATTTCAATTAACGGCAACATCTCTTTTCCCATCTATTATACTTTCCTCATTCATCCAAATGTCAACAGCATTGAAGTTGTTATGTCTGTTGATTTTTGTTGATGATTACGCGCAAATCATATTGATAAGGTATATAACGTCAATGATAAATAACCATACAAATAAACTTCATCAATTGATAACAGTAAAAAGAATTTGATGAAATAATTTTAGAATTTATGCAATTAAAAACTGCAAAAAAATCTAACCCGTAGTTAAAACAATAAAGGAAGTAATATCGAAGCTGTTGCTGTTGTTGTTGTTGTTGCTGTTGTTGATAATTATGATATCAGTGATTAAGAATTTTAAAATTAGCCATAGATCAATGAACATGTTTGCAAATGTCGGAAAAAAATCTGTAGTTCTCACATTTCTCCTGAAAAAACCTAAAATGATCAAAAATTTCAAGCGATAAAATAGTAAATAATATATATATGAAATAGTTGCCAGAATAGCAAGCAAAGTTCACAAACAAAAATAAGATAGAGATATTTAAATATAAAAATAGATAGATAGAAAGGCATATGTAAACAAAATGAACGATACAGCGTTGTGTGTATTCGAAGGAAAACTTTCCGCTAATGTTGAAAGGCAGAAAGATGAAAGCATTGCATTGGTGTGTGTTCAAAATTTTCTTCAAATAAAAAGAAATACATTAAAAATATGAGCAAAAAAATTTACGAAAAGTAACTGAATGAAATGAAACATTGAAATTGAGAAGAATCATAGCGATACAATGACTAATTACAAATTAAATGTGATGAAATAATGCACCTTCAAATATTTCATTCTATTCTTTAATTTAAAAGAATATGTTACTATTGGATTGTTATAGTGCCCTTGCTAGACTATAAATAATTTGATTTTATCATATATTACTAAAAAAGTTTATAAGCATAACTGATTTAAAAGAATAACAAAGCGATAGGTTTGAGCTATCACTTTTTAATTTTACAAGTTGTGCTTCAATGGTTGTTTACAGACATAAATGTATATGATACATATAATAGTACAAAATTATTTCAGATTTCTCCAGTCATGATACATTCTTCCTTATCTTTTTCTGGAACAATACACTTGATATAAATGTATATGATAATATGATCAAGATCGAGTAATAATTTTGCTATTAATTAGGACTTCATTAGCTTCAACAGGATCTAAATTTAATCCGAATATATCTTCGGTGCTAAACTTGCCTTATATTCCAATATGTTGAAATGCATATTGAATTGCAAAAAAGTTCACAAACTACGGAAGTTTCAAATCTATAGGATTTGATAAATCGAAGGAATTATTTCAAAATATTAGGCTGTTAATATCAACATTATTTCCGCCAATTATAATTTTTGTTATCTTAAATTAATAAATACTTACATTATCTTAAATTAATAAATGCTTAAAGTACTTTGAGAAATAATTAGTGCAAATAGCAATAAAGCTCATTTCAGGAAAAACAACTAGAAAAACGCGAAAGCAAAATTGCTAATATTTCTTTACCATAACTTTTCTCAAATCTCTAGTAGATGGCAACTTTCACAGAATGATTAATTATAATGAGATTAATAAATGAAAATCGTTTTCTTTTTCAAAGGAATTAAAAATAAACCTTAAGCTTCCTAAACAAGCTTATTGTTGATGAATTAAGTTTAAATTCATGAAATGACTTTTATTAATTTCAATTAATGATTCTTAGAAGAAGAAAATCAAACTTTTCAAACGGTAAAAGGGTAATAATAATTTGAAACATTATCCAAATTGTGGCAAGTGAATGCTTAGGAAGCTTAAACTATGTAATATTGTTTTCCATAAAATTTTGATTAGTTATGAGAATGTTCAATTTTTGATTTGCAGCAACGTAAACAAATGAAATCACTCACTTCTTGTGCATAATGAACTCACTCACTTCTTGATGGATTTATCATAAATTTTGGATGGGATTAAAACTTACGATCCGAAATAAATTTCGAATGAATTTTTAGACTGCTCTTCTAAAATTTCTGGATTTTTCTTTCAGTTTTCTGGTATGTACTTTTTTAGACAATTAAACATAGATTATAAGTATTTAGGATTCCTAATTAAATTACTCTTTCCGGATATAAAATGTATTTATGCTATCCTGAATTGACTATAGTTATATAGTTAACTGAATTTGAATTCACAATAGAATGATTGAATAGGTGGCATATGCCTACTAATCCATAATGTGAAAAATGATAAAGAATTAAACTTATAAAAAATAATGTATTATTTAAAGTCATTAATTAATTGCATGCCGCAAATGAACAACACAATACTAACAATGGCGATACTTCTACAACTGTTACAAAACATGAAACTTCATACACATAAATTAATCGGCGAACATTTAAAGAAATTCCTTCGTTGATGACGCAATCAATGAAAATAGAATTGATGATGGATAAGAGAAAGATTCTAAAATTTATGATTAAAATTTTTACTTTAGAAATAAAGATGTCAAAAAATGCTGATAACATCGATCGATGACTACTAAATCGCTGATAATGATAATAGTGAGGATAAATAAAAAGAGGAATACTGTGAATTTTCACCAGAAAAACAGCATATTACAGGAATTTTTTGCTTGCAACTGTTTGTTCTCAAGTGCTCATTTTTTGATTATCATTAAAACAGGTGCTCGTTTCAGCTCAACTATTATTGTTATTATTTCTGATCTCTTACTTTCAAGCAGCTGAGATCATACCTGCGGATAATATAACAGGAAACAAAATATGATGATATGATAAATCATTTCAAATATGATGCAAACATAATTTCTCGGATACAAATATATACAAATGACAAGCAATTATTGGATGAGAAGAAATGGAATGAGTTGATATTTTGGGATAGTTATTTTAAGCCTTTACAGATCATGGACTGACTGACTGTTCATTTAACTAATAATGTCAGAAATGTTTGCTGGAAAGATTATACAGCTGACTGCCTTCAAAACGAGTATTTATATTTATTGCATTATATAAACAGAAACAAAATGATACATACAAACACAAATATACCCACACAATACAATTCATTTTGGATTATTAAATATTTCCGAATAATTTCCTTCTTTTTAGATATTATTCGTCAAGAATGGATTACTTCTGGAAACATATAAATTACTTTAGAAGTTAAAACGATTTATTGAGGCGATGAAAGTATAAAAGAGTAAAAAGGTTGTGAGGTGTAAATGAGATAGAAATTACACGAACAAACAAAATAAGTTAATCAATATAGAGTAAAAGAGCACCAATTTCAAATTTAGTCCAATCATTTTGGAATAATTGATGAAGAAATGATAGATATGCAGAGAAGGATAGGTGGAACTATGGGATGGAAGTACCTGATTTAAAATAAAGTTTGAGGTGCATTAGGTTCATTATCTCTCTACTTGTTGAATAATAAATTCTAATATTCAAATAATATAAATTAATCACTTAGGAAGAGATTTTAAGTTGTTAAATGAAAACAACACTAATTGGGAAAAAGAATATCATATATATATAAATTTCGATTATTTAAATTTTTTTGCTTAAATTCTATTTAAATCTGCAAAAAATTGCAAAAATAAATATATATTAGTAAGCAAAACGAAACAAACAAACAAACGACAACTTTTTAAAATATTTTGACATTTGGCATTTCTTGATTTGATTTCAAATTCAACTTTATCATCATTTGTTATTTCTTTTAATAATTGTTAAATGAATAAATTCTATTAGTTTATATTATTTCAAATAAGTTGTTATTATTTATTGCATCGCAGTTCAACTCCTGGGACGGTTGCTTTATCGTTTCGAATTTAGGACAGAAATGCGAACGATAAATATACGATGTGATTGGAATGATCTTCATGAGGTGTGAAACCTTAACGAAGAGAGCATCTATCTGTTTACATCACATTCAAATCGCTAAGTAAACAGGAGATTGAAATCTGATCACTCCTCATTTACAGCTTAGATGAGCTATGAAATTTGAAACAAACAAATCAAGAAAACAATGCTTTTTCTCATTATTCCTCTTCTAAAAAACTATTACTGGAGTCGTAATTAATATTACAATTAATAATTGCTAAATAAATGAGTCCGAAGCAATTAAGCTGTAAATGAGAATTGTTTATTTCATTTAATTGAAATTAACTGAAAAACCTTCTTGGAGCAAAAGAAATCTGATATCATTGTAGTATTAGGTGCAAAGAAATTATCCTCATTTTAATAGATAGATTTGAAGAAAATTAAGCAATGATGATACAGATTCGAAGACGACTATGTGCATCACTTCAAAAATGCACCAATCGATTACATTGGAAGACTCTATCGTTTGTCATAAATCACTGTGGCAATTCTCTTCAATTTTCCATTCAAGCCACAGTATCGCCATCACTGAAATTTGAAAAAGAGCAAAAGCCGCCAGTATCATCAAATCAGGAACAACAAGAACAGGTAATACAAATATCGATAATGAAAAAAGTCTGAAAAGAATAGTGCACTATTACAATTACGTGAAACAAAAAATCTTTACGAGAAAGCTACAAAATTGAAAACAAGTCCTAAAAATAGGCCTGCAGAAGATAACACACTACAGGAGTCGTTGAAACAAGCTATGCTGCTTGAAGCAAAAAAAAATGTCAAATTGGCCTATTCAAACATCAAAAACTGAAAATTAATTAAAAGTTGGTAGCACAAAAATTAAGAAACAATCTTTAGAGGAATCTGAACAACGCCTAAGAAAAAAACCTTCTTTTGGAGCAAGTATATTTCCAACCCGTCAGGACATATTTACATTGAATTTTTTAACATTTTCAATTCATTGATGATTCACTCCCATAATCCATTCAGTAATGCGAAATTTCGGGAAAATATCACCTATCATATGATAAGTAAAAATATTCAAAATTCAATGATTTCTGCACATGCTTTAATATTAGATGCAAGAGCAAAAGCAAACACCAAATGCTACCAATGAACAGCAAAAAGGTAAACGTGATGTTGCTATACAGGTAACATTTTAATTTTTAGAACTTCAAAAATTAAAAAAATGCTTTCTTATTTCATCACAATTTATAAATCAATCTTTAAATTGAAACTAAACAAGAAATCGCTCAAACAATTCGCAACGTTATCATATATTGAATTAAATATAGCTATCGCCATACTATTCTGTTCAAATTCAATTTTATTAGATTGTCTTCAGTCTTCAGCCGTATGTGTTTAATAAAATAAAATGCATTATTAGTAGGTTCGTAAAACTACACTTCGCTGCAATACTTTTTTTGGCGATATTTGAAACTTTATTTTTATTGCAAAATCCTTTAGCACTACTCATTGCAGATCGATTTGAAAGATGGAACAGAGCTCGAGAAATTAAGTGCCTTCACTACTGTATTTTTCGGACCATTTTCATTAATTAGGGATGGGAAACAATCAGTAAAATGTGTGCAGGTCGGAGATGGTAACATTAAACAACTAAAATAGTCGTCACATAAAAAAGTTGGAATTTTAGTCGTAGTCTCAAAAAAAATTTTTCACTGCTTGGGTGGTGTTAATGACCGATTTTTTAATAAACAACGAGGCAACAGTTTTAACTAAAAACCTGTCAGCTCTTCAGATCCCACTGCTACAATATTTTTTCAATAGATCTTTGATAGATATTGCATATGTGGATTGCATATATGGGGAATATGTCAACACAAACTTTTATACAAACTATATACCAAGATATGAAAGTTTGAATATGGAGAGCACTATTTAAAAATTACAAATTTTACTTTATCATACTGCATCATTTTTAAAAGACATACTGAGAAAAATCAAAAAATTTAGACGCGGTGTGACAGCGTGGGAAAGAAGACTAAACATATTTGAAAACAAGAAAGGGAAAAGGGAGAAAAACAAAAAAGCGATTTAATTCCTCATTAAGTTATGAGTGGAACAAGAGCAGAAAACCAGGAGGTTCTTAAGTGCTTCTAAGAACACTTCCTAAATCATCACAACCAAGACGACCATCATCCATTAAACAATCAAATCACAGTGTAGGGACTACTTCTATAGAAATTTTGCTTCTCGACAACAATTCCGAAATTTCAAAAAATCCCGACCAACTTAAGTCTGAACTCGTCTTGAAAATAGAGAAGAAAATAACTCAGTTTCACATGTTCTTTATTATATATACTGCGCTTGATAGCGTAAGTCACAATCAAAAGAAATGAGGATGTGCTGCTGATCCTGAAATTGTCTAAATCCTGATAAAGTGGTACATTCACTTAACGAGAGAAAATCCATTTAGGTTTAGATTTACCTAAGAAAAGCACTGGAGCATTTTTTGTTTCTTAATCCAGTAAATCTTAGTCTTTAAGTACCACCAATCACCTGAGAACCTGAAAGACAATGCGATAACGGTCACCACATAATCGACCATCTTAAGAAACTCACCGATTTTTAAGATCACAACATTCGCAGAATTCTAAAAAAATATCAGTTAGTTTCGTTTATAATTCCTGATCAAGATTTAGTTTTGAAAACAAGCAATAAAACTAGTAAAACTAGTGCCTAAAAGAAAAAAACTCACACTAATAATATCAAGATAAATGAAGAACGGTGTAGTCAGTTGAAGTAGAAGAGAATAAAAGGCATAAAATCATTGGAGAAACTTATCTGAACTTTAAAATGAAAGAAAAATGAGATTCCACACGTAAGATCGTACTGAATCTATAAAGCGATACTCAGTGCTCAGAATAAAAGTTGTATTCGAAGCAGCTATCACAAATAACTGGAAACACGTCATTAACAGCGATGCTATTGGCATAAGAAAACATTTGCGATAGTAGAAAATAACTAAGAATCAACAAGTCGAAGCTTTTTAAGTTCTCTTAGATATAACAAATCACGAAGTTATTTCTATATCTTCACTCACTATCATAGTTTATTACAATCAAAAACAGAGGAAAGTACTTCGACCTGGCTAAAATTTAAGTTTGCAAGGAGTCAAAATGGGCACCGCTGATCAATTGAAAGCATGAAATAGTTGTACACGTATATGTGATGATCATTTCGAAATGAAATTATAAATAATTACAATTCGAACACTTAAATTTGCACACTCTTGATAAATACATAAATTGATTCCAACCATACAGTAGAAACTAATCGACCAGTTTGAAATAATAATGCTTGAGAATAAATAAACTTAAAATTACCGAGTAATTTTAAGACCTACCGGAAGACAAGTAAATTTCACTTAACAACCTATTCACAATGTTGATCATGCATTTCTTTTCGATTCCAAAAAATGAGCACATTAATTTCCATTATGAAACAGTAAATTAATATCTGCAAGCTTATTTTAAACGAAATTGACTTGTCAATTTAAAAGCAAACCATGTCTGTGCTAACTTAGTGCATAAGAATAAGAAAAAAAGAAAAGTTTGTCATTTCAAAACGACATACTTATTTCTCGTTAGGTTCCATGTGTTAAACAATTTGACCTAAGCAGCACGGGTAGAAAACGAGAGCAAGAATAGATATCTAAAAATCACAAACATAATAATGAGCAAGTGATATTAAGGAGAGAATAATTAGAGCTAAAAATCATTTAGAAGTTTTCATCAATAATATAAAGATCATTATCACAATACTGGTATAGAGCTTAAATTAACAGTGAAATGCCATTATTTATCAAAAAAAGCAATGAAAATTGAACAAGTTGAGATTTCCAGAGAAATAAAACCCTGATTCAATAAAAGAAATTTTTATTCATTATTTCTTACTTTTCCAGTTCTACTCGCAGTAGTATTTGTTAATTAGGCTCTCAGAAGCCCATCTCACTTCAACATGTGTTTGGCTGATTAGGTTAAATTCTTCTTAACTAGAAGCAAATTCCACAAAAAGAGAAGAAATACGAGATATGCAACAGCATGATAGATAGTTACAATGCGAAAAAAAAATTTGGACTCATACTGATTAACCGATTGATTAATTCATATTTATCATAACAAGATGGTGTTCATAGCATATAAATGATTGAGAAAGTTCCATTCATTTACTAATATGCTCTTTTAAGATTTCCAGGAAATATTTAGCAAAAACAAATATAAGATATGATACGCAGCATTCGATATAACTACTGGAACGAAGCAGGAAAAAAGCATATATAAATATATATGAATGAAGCTGTAAACATTTTGTAGCTACATGCTGCGTATCTGCAATAGAATCACTTTTATCAAAAAATGTGCAGAAATAATGAGCAGTCTTTGACTGCAAAGTTATCTATAATTCTTGCACTGTTAAAAGCACAAAGTCTAACAGTAAACAAGGTGCATGATTTCATTTTCATACACTCATTTCTTCTACATATTCTCAAAAATAATTAAGTTTGAAATGGGTGACGTTAGATTCGTTTACCACCTCGTGATAGGTACCATTTATATTACTCGGATAATAATGCAACACTCTTAATTTACTGAAAAAACAACAGTGAGAATAACCAATCGAGTAAATTTTGCGTAATGCCTAATACACCATCCAAACTTTGCAAAAAAGCAATAAGGCATTACGAGCAGCATCTTCATGAGCAGCCTCTTCGGTACTTCCACTTCCGTGACATACCTTGAAATCAGTTTCTTGAAAGCAAAAATTAACGCAAATAAATATGAAAAATAAGGATATGTACAAAATCGACATTATCATCGTGAAAATAAATAAATCCAATCAAGTGGAAACTTACTACAGGTTTATCGATTCCAATTGAAATAAGTGAAAAATATTGATCTCCAATCCCATTCGGAGTCTAAACCACATCATTTTAGCTTGTTACAAATATTCGACAGTGAAAAAATCATCCGTCTTTTCCTTTAGTGTCTATTCCTCCAACTAATTTGACATCTATTACTTTTAAGAACTGTCAAATCGTTCATTAAAAAATTTAATACAATGCTTTTTTCCTTTTTCTTATTTGATAAAAAATGTATACCACGGGAAAATCGGTATAATTGACAGAGAATTTGTAACGTTCGGCTATAGATTCAAGATGACGTCTAGCAGCCGAATATGCAATGGATGATGACATCTCATTCAAGGTCAGTTGCTCTATCTGGCGACCCACTAACAGAATACCGTCACCTTCCACTGAAAAAATTACCGCGATGAGAATTAAAACATGTTTTTAATTTCCTTAATATTTGAACACCCAACAAATTATTAGGACTAAAACAAATTAATAATTAATTTACATTCAGCAGGATTTAAATATGAACATGAAAAGTTTATGAAAAATCCTTCGATTTCGTCAAGACCATTTTCGAACAATTAATTGAAAAGAGTGACATCCAGAAAACAGATTTTATCCAAAGATTTAAATCTTCAAAGTAACAGTAATTTTTTACAAGGAAAAACCAAATGCATTAATTTTATTACTTTTTTTCTCCATTTTCAGTGGTTGAACGATGTCAGAACACTTGAAGAATTCTTGAGCCATTTCAGTAATTTCCTTCTTCTCGATCTCGGTGAGCCATTTTTTCGAATCACGACCTTCTGAAATGTACAGCCAAAAAACTATAGGCTTATAAAAAAACTCAAAAGTTGCACCAAGAAAAAACAAAACAAACTTTTGCGAAGCTTGTTGACAACAACTACTTCCGGTTTCAACGGTATTATCAGAGCCGAAGGGTAACTGCTGTCATCTGTAATAAACAAACGTGAAGAGAAGAAAAAAACTATATGAGCTGCTATTTGTCTGAAGTCATGATACGGAGAAGATTATTCATAAAAATCATTCCGTACCAAAATCATGAAAAAAAAAAATCTAGAATGACAAAAAGCTTATTTGACAAATACAGAGCAAAAAGCTAAAAAATCTACTCTCCCTTTTTTTGTGTGTCTTTCTTCAGTCATATTCTATTCATTTCTAACGATTTCATTATTTCACTATGAATGACCGTTACAAGATCACTTACTTAGCAAGCGGGGAGAGTTTTATGGCAGTGTACGATTTCACGCTAAATATAGCCTCTACAGATTTTCAGTACCCAATTACCTTTCGTCCTTTTATAAAATTTCTAACAATTTCTATTAGAAATTTTTTAGAAATTTTATATTTTATGGAAATTTTATAAAAGTCCTATCAATTTTCCATAATATAAATTCATAAATGTAACCATCACTGGACCAGAAAAATCAAATTTCGTGAAAATGTTTCCTTGTTCGATGTCAAATACAAATTATGTAAGATAAAGCAAATGTCAAATTTACATAAACAAACAGAAAAATAAAACCAACCGGGTGGCGGGCATGCACTAACTTCATTACTGAAAGTAACACGACGCTTTGGCTGAGAAGCATGCCGTTTTGCATCGCCATTTTCTTTACCACTAATACTACAAGAATTTTTTATTAAATATAATTTCGTGAATTAAAAAACTGAAACTGTGGTGTATATATAAGCAATGAGCTGACATCCGAAATGACAGGAACACCAAGTGTCACAATTTTTCAAATCGAAAAAGATTCCTAATGAACATAACATATGTCATAATTTCCTGAATTGTAAAACGAAGTTACCTGGATCTTAGAATGCTGATTTATCCTTAGAAGTGATAACAGGATCGTGATTCAAGAAATCTTTTCCAGTATGAGAAATATGTATATAACCAGGAATTTACCTCTTAGTTTCAGTGGCGATGCTACCCCAGATATCTTTTTGTTCATCGACACATAAAGCCCTGTCAACGTCGGCGAAAGCCATCACTTGTGATCCCATCGACGCAGTCACAGATAAAGTAACTTCTGAGACCTTCTCAACATCTTCAGTTTTATCTTTCTCTTCATTCAGCTGTCGCACTAATTTCTCCTCTTTTTCAAGTTCGAACATACCTATAACTTTTGAATAATCTGCATTTCAGAAATGTAATTCAGCTATTTCAGAAATAAGTACATTAAGTATAACAATAGTGAAAATGGACAGAGACGAGCAAATGACATCAAAAGCGAACTTTCACTTCCAAATCATGTTTAATGAATGTTAATATAAATTCATTTGTTTATTCCAAACTTATTCCATCACAACAAAATTAAGGACAATTCGTAGCTCATTTTAAAATTATCTAGGAAAATAAAATTTATACCAATATGTGATCGCTGAATATACTCTTCGGGTTTTTTCTTGAGAAGGCTTTTTCCAGGTTTCGGCATAGGCTTTACATATCCGATCTTTGCCAACACTGCTTCAGCTGCAGCTCGTTTTGCAAGCTTTTTATTGGGCCCGATACCTTCGCAGCGAAGACCATCATCACAGATTACCTGTAACAGATATAAAACTTGAATACAGAAATGTAATTATTCCAGAACTAAACTAATAACAAAAGCAAACCTCCATCACAAATTCTTTATAACGACTTTGTCCGCGCTCAGCAACAAGTTGAAATTTTGGCTCATTTTGCTTCCGGGTTTGCATAACCTGCATCAGACGACTGATTGGGTTAATTTGATGACCATATTCCGGATTCATTTTCATATCCTAAAATTTTGGATAATCACAAAGAAAATAGCCTATGATTATTAAACTCGTAATAGGTTGTGATGTGCAAGAAGCTAGAAATTACAAAAAGAATATCAATATTCAAGTAATTTGGAAAAATGATTATCTATTTAAAAACTATCAAAGATATGCGACACATAGTTCTAATTTTCGCTTACTGAAGGAAAATTAAACATTTTCCAAAACCAAATAAGCGTACTTTAACAGTAATGAAAACTACCAAATACCTTGCTAATCGTCTTCCGTTTAAGTTCTTTTGGCGCCCCGAATTTCTTCTGCGATTTCAACATTGAAGCCGCAATGAAAATCGGAGAGGATTCTAGGAAAGAAACAAGCAAATGTTTGAAAAAATTAATGAATCTTGGAATAGATAACGGCAATTTCTTTCCATCAGATAACAAGTATCATAATCCTTATAACAACATTATGGTGACTAACCAACAGATTGTAATTTAGTTAGCATCAAAGAGCAAGCGTTCTGCTTCGCAATTTTCTTACTACTTCCTTCACCATCTGCAGAGATAATCCGCTCTGCAGAAATAAGTTTGCAACGTAATATGTAGTGTCTGTCGTGGGCTGGTCCTTCTTCTTTCAAAATCTATAAAAATTAAATAACTTCCAGATTTGGGGAGAATAGAAAAGATAATGGAAATATGACAAGCAGTACAGCGCAGTAATGAAAGAAAAATTACAAGAAAAATAATTAGTAAATACAGGAGTCACTTTTCATTGACAAACCACTCAACTTCAAAGAGCGGGGCAAGCTCTTGAATTTGAGCAATTTGCTGTTGAATATAGAGTATGTAACAGAGTTACAAGAAATAATCGGAAATTTAATTGTAATTAAAATAAGAATAATGAAAGCTGGAGATCTGCAAAATTTATTACCAAAAACTCGACATTCATGCGCATATGTAGAGCACATTCATGTATTTGAGAGATAGAAGACTTCGGTTTCCCATTTCGCGCTGTTGTGGTAACTGATTTTAAATTATCTTTTCTGATGTCTTCGATTTCAACTGTAGTTAATTCTGCCGCTGCAAAAAAAACAAGCTGCTTAATCTTTTAATTCAGTATATGCTTTTATTCAACTTTAGAGTCAGACGGAATTAAGATATGTAAAAGTAAGATACGAAAATTCTTGTCTGACTAGTACACTGTCCATAAAAAAGACAAGGGAATAATGTAAAAATACCATATTGGTCAATGATTATTTTAAAATGATGCTTGCTGATTGTCACCTCTATTTTGAATTGGACTAATATTAAGCATCTTCTAACATTACGCTGGATCCCATGGTTATTAATTAAGACTATAAATCTCCGACTCCTCTCAAAGAAAATTTCTGCTGAGTTAACAAGTTCTACAAAAATGTTGGATTGCTTTATAAAAAGCGTTGTAGTAACGCCATTTGGTTGAAAAATCAGTAGCCTATCTCAACCCGAAAGAATGTAACTGAATCATATAAGCCGTACTGGCAATCAAACGAATAACTGTTACCGTTCTTTGACCCACTCATTATTTTGCTTTTTGTCTGTGCTTCCAATGTAGCCAAATAAGGTCCTAGATAAGAAAGAGCCTGAAACTGCAGTGGATGCTTACTCACAATTTTATACAGCAAGAAATGTTCCAAGAATATTCAAAACAGAAGCACAAGAAATTATGTGCGACTGAGAAAGTATTGTTAAAAATATATCGAAATAAAATTTTAATTTAAAAAATCAAATATATAAAATAACTCCACCTCATTAGCAGCGCTGTTTTTGGCCCTCTTCTTTGTCATTCCCTTTCCAATAAACTCTGGGAAATCCTTACTTAGTATCAGACGAACCTAAAATTCAACTGAGGAATTTGAACTCAGATAAAGACTCTAAATTATTTATTGAATATGCGAATATCTGGTTTTCCGTCCAAATAGTTTAATTTTTAAATAATCGGTCACCGACTAATAACCACCGTTATTTTCTCCATAACCAACTTTCAACACAAGCAAAACAATAAGCTTAGCAGTCGACTCTTGTTATGCACATAGAAATCCAAAAAAGAAAACAAACTTGTTCAAAATTTACTTCATGAAGTTGTGAATGGGATCGATAACGGTGAAAGAATGAGAATCGCTGGGGTATCATTGCACTTGGTGGTTGCATAATAACTACTGGTTGCAGTGCTGCAGGAATACGTGGTTGTCCAAATACCAATTTGGGTGGTGGAAGAACCAAGAACTGTTCGTTAATCACTGGGATGAAAGGAGTCCTTATTAGTGGCCTGCAACTGATTTCAGAGTAACTCTACGAATATAGAAAGAGAAATATAGTTATTTCTGTAACGGCGTTTCTACAGATAAAAAATATGCAGCTAATTCTGTTATTTATTTAAGGAAAGTTTTACAATTTATCTCCAAATATGAGAAACTACAACTTAGACTTTTAATTAACTCAAATAAAAAATCCAGAAACTACAGCACGTCATAATTGATAACCAACTGCATTGGCAAACGGTTTATCGGATGTGGTGTTGAGCATATCGGTGCTACTTCGTCAATGAATTTAATCTCAACTCCAAGTCGTCCTGCGACATACCTGAGTAGGACTATCGGATTTTGAAAATCTGAAACAAAAGCAATTTTCTACAGCTGCTACAATTCGAACAATTTTCACTTTAATTCATTTAAAAATATTAAAATCAGCCAAATGTACAGATATTTACATCCGGATATTTCATAAAATCGTGGAGAAATACTTTCTCATAAAAAGCCTGATTACTCAATAATTTAACTGTTTTTCTTCTTGTGCAACAATAACAATAACTAGGACGCGTCATATTCAGTTTACGATTATTTCAATCGATAAGTAAAAGAGAACACAAAACAGCTTTTAACTCCATGCAACGTAGATCTAATATTTATCTAACGTGTGCTAATCTTACCACTTTTGATTTTTTTTGAAGGGACCTTATCAGGTGGCTTAGGTAAAATAGTTTCTTTCAGGGCAATTTCAGCGGCTGATTGCTGAGCTTTCTTGATGGACGCTCCCTTGCCGTAAAATACCTACAACATTTTTACAGGAATATAAAAAAGCAAGAAATATAATAATAATCCAATGCTATACGGTAGAGTTAAATTATATAAAGGAACAAAATACTTGCCTGATCTGGGGTAAGTACAAGTGAAACGGTAAACTGTTTTTTGTGAGCTGGTCCACTTTCATCCATGAGTTTGTACTCATGCCTGATCTGAATTAATTTCTAATATTTATGATTATATTCCCCATTAATTATTTTGTATAAAAGCAGATAGACTCAGTTGTCAACAAGAATGGTTAAAAATATGTTGGGAGTATGAATGTGATGCGACAGTTTAATCAATAATCGCTCAATATCGCTTAAACTTGAAATCACTTATTAATCCAGAAAGAAGCCAACTTTATTGTAGCGAGCGAGCTCTGCAATACGACACATTGGAGTTCTCTGATGATTTTCATCAAGTTGTGAATAGTTATAAACATACTTCGTGGGAGACACTTCTTGCTCTAAAAGTGAAAGATTTTATAACCGTGACAGCTCTGAGAAAACAATAAAGGGAATAAAGTATCATGCGGCATAAACGCCTAATTCGAACAGTAATTAAAATTATTCCAAGCTGAGGGTTTTCTATTTTCAAATAAGTAAAGGCGACAGCTGCTTAAAATAGTTATCTCTTTTCCAATTTCCATCCCAACTAAAATAATGTTCAATAAGATCCAATCAAGAGTCATGCTATGTGAATAATATAGCTGTAATACATAAGGAACAGAAAAACCTGTAAAGTGATGTCCCCACCACATCTCCGGATGAAGCACTGAATCATCATTGGCTGTGCCATTTATTTTACACCGCACACCTGCTCCCTTCATGCAACTGCCGATTTGTGATGAGGATTGCGTTTACACAATTTGAGCAAATAAAAAAACTGAAACCACTGTCCACGTCACTTATATGATTTGAGTTATAAACAAAAGGTCAAAAGGCTAATCATACTGAACACATTTCGGATTCAGAAACTAATGCCTTTATAATCAACAAAACACCCCTTCGGTAATCAATTAAAAAAAATTAATTTATGCGCATCAGTCACTAAGAGCAAAGTAGAGAAACTATAATAAAGATAATAGTTTCGTGAAGTACCATGTCATACAATTTTGTTTAAAACCTAAAGTTCGGACCATAATATCGTCATATCATAATAACCACGAAGAACTGATGGAAGGCACTTTACCTGACATCAACGAGCTCGATGTCATTTCATGGCCTCTGTTTTATAGAATCTATGGTTTCCCAAAACTTGCGAGAGTGACGTTCCCTTGATTATATAGAAGCTACTAGATGATCCTGCTTACATACCTATAGCCTCAAAACTCCACACTGCTTGAATACAGTAAAACCCCTAGCGCATGCTACATTAATGCTAATTTTAATCAGCCACAGACACACTGGTACCAGGATTTACTCCGCAGTTTTTTCTGATAGAAACTCCAAAAATCCATTTCCAGAACCGCTAACCAAGACCTTAACCACTTTCGGAAGAATGAATACATCAAGGTCGCTGTGGTCAGCGCAACAACTCAGGCTTGTGCAGCTATTCCAGAAAAACAAAACTGACTTAACATTTAAATTTCATAACATTTTAAAACAATGAGGATGAAAAAAGTAGGCATTACTATAGCCAGACAGCGAAACCTGGATAAGTCATAGCAAGAAGCGTCATGAACAAATCTTGCGACAACATAATCATGATTTTTTTTCAAGCACTTGAGTTAAACAATAAGGTCGTTCCTTTCTTCCACATTATGTATTCTAAAGGTGTAATAACACTTTGGTGGAAGAAGACAGTTGGAATGAGATTTATTTTATTGGACATTAATGTAAGGAGATCACACACACGGTACAAATGACAAAATATGCATTTAAAGAAAGGCAACACAATAATAACTGTAACAGTTTGTTTCAAAATGGCCAAAAAATCGATAAGGTTGTAAATGAAAAAAAGCAAAGAAAAATTATTTATAAAAACAGGTCGATAAAAGCTTTCGACTGCTTGCTTTATTCAGTGCTCGCTTAAATAACGCCTTCCAGCTTCTGATGTACGAACGCTGAAAAAATCTGTAAGTTTATAAATAAATCAATACCGCGAAAAATGCAAAAATATTCCAAAAATAATTTTGAATTTGCGACAATTGTATTAATATTTTCATTAGGATTGCATTTCTCTCTCTTCTTCCCACTTTCCACAAAAACTCACATATATTCTCCAATATCTGAAGAACATCGAATTTAAGCTGAACGTGTGTGGTGTGTGTTTTTTTTAACCTTTTCGAAATGGTTGTACGGACATAAGCTTAGGCTTCCGCGGCAAAAGTAAAATAAATTTAAGTTTCGGGGAGATTTTAATATCCTATATTTACATTTCAGCAATTTAAAAAAAAAAAAAACAAAATTTGTATCAGTCAGCTGATTTCTAAAGTCGGATCAAAGACAAATAAAGTTGCTAAATACGCCATATCGTATTATCCTTCTTGGAATAAATTTTTAAAAAAAAGAAACGAAGATTTTGTTAACCACTGTTGTAGTAAATATTGCGCTGCCTGAATCTGCTCTCGAGTACCAGAAATTGTTATGATACGGTCACCACCATTGTCACGATGGGGTTCAACTTCGATCTGCGCTCCCGATTCTTCACGCACTCGGTTAATTCGTGAACCACCTTTACCTATTATGGCGCCTCCCAGTTCATCCGGGATTGTAACCTAAACACTAATATTATAAATAAAAAATATGGATGTTAAATTCAAATTAATATGGGCAAACCAAATTTATATGAGAACTTCAAAATAAACTCTTACTTTTGAGCATTTTTTCAAAACTTATCAAAAAACCAGTCATACGTATAACAAATGATAACTGCACTTAATATTAATATCACAAATACATTCGTATGATATGATATAATAGGCTATCTACCCATAATAGCCTCCATACTAAGAAACATTACTCCGAAAGTCAAATTCAGGAAAAAGGTGAAAATACAATTTGGAAAAATCAGATGACTGCTGTTGACTGCAAGCACTGAGACAACGGTCAAGACTACGTCATCAATTTTGCAAAAATTAATAGAACTTGAGAAAATTATTTAAGCATGTCATATTTTCGAAAAGCAAATCTTAAAAATTATGTTACGTCAGTTGTTTCCACCTGTGTGGTCTGCATAGCTGGAATAGGTGAATAGCGCCCAATCATGTCCCTCATTCCACTATAACGATCATCTCTTCCAGGATATCGTGAGGGAATCATGTTACCGCTAAATCCATAGTCTCTTCCTCGGCCCACACGTGAGATGAAATTTCTATCAGGAACATATCCACCATAATCACTAATGATATCTGGATCATAATACATCGGATCATACGGTCGAACAGGTCCCTTTATTGGAATCTAAAAGTCATAATACACGAACTACTTTTTTTTAAGCACATTTAAATATCTCATTCATCATAAGGTATCATTTTAATGTTCATTAAGAGATTAAAAAGCTTCTAATAATTGAAATTTCGTTAACATTTTAATATATTACCTCCTTCAACACATCAATGATAATGTTGATACAGTCAATAATTTTTCCCACTTCACCATTCAACAGAACGATTCTTTCAGTAGACTGTGGCGCGCAACGTGAAAAAACCTGTTAATTTTTATGGTAAAATGTTGTGAAGTTAAATAAGCCTTTTCATTTTCTCTCATATTCAGAAACCTTGCCCTTTTTTCTACTACAACTTTATTTCTGCTCAATAAACCATGTGCTTTCTATTCAATACTGGAGAAATATTAAAATACATTGGTGACCAACTTTGAAATAACAAACAGGAGTAAGATGTATGCAATACGTCTGGAATGAATTTTCAAAATGAGATAGATAACTGAACAACTGTGAAAGCAGGTGATCTGTTAATATGTAAAAAATAAAAAGAAAAAAATATAAAAAATATATAAGAGATATAAATATATAAAAGAAAAAAAAGAAATATATAAAAGATAAAAAGTTCTGAGTTTATGAACTTGAAATTTGATGCGACATTGCAATAACGAAAATGTTTTTATGAAGAAATGCGCGTCGCTTTCGCAAAAAGTTTCCTGTCTGTCAGTGGGCCAACAACATGAGTGTGTTCGACCACACATGCACCATAAAATTGAAAATACGTGATAAAACCTTAAGTTGTGCTCCAGTTTTTTCACGAAGTTCCTTTATTCGTGAGCCACCACGACCAATAACCGCACCAGCATGAGATTCATGCACCAAAACTTTCATTTCACTATCCGATCTCTCTGCCTTTTTCCCTCGTCGATCATGATCATCCTCGCGATTCTGAAAATTTTCATTATTTCTCAGTTTTGCTTCTAGAAGGAAAGTCGAAGATATCACAAATTTTTAGCGTGATAACTTAAACATTCTTCAATTCCCAATTTAGACCGATCAATAATAAATAAATACTGAACTGTAGAAATTGCCACTTACCTCATCGAGACGTGGTATAATTTCACGCAAGCAATTTGCAATGTTTTCTGTTGTAGCAGTGAGAGTCAATACCCTAAACAACATGTAGAATACAGTTCTAATAAAAAAAAGTATAAAAAATTCCAAGAAATGTTCTGCCTATATAAATGAGAAAAATCATGCAAATTTCACAGGTTCAGTTTCACAAATATAAAGGTATTCAATGTTAATGCCCCGCAATCAAACTATACTCTGAATCCAACGGCTGTAAGAAAAGGTAGTGCGCTGTTTGGAATAAATTTGTATTAAAATCCTTCGTTTTATCTTAGAGTATTGCAAGGAAGTTTCGAATTAAAAAATAATGTGCTCTATATTATTCGAAAACTTCAAGTTATTGAAAATTTTGAAAAAAAATGGCCTTCTCTGCTAAAAAAATTGGGAAACATGCCCCTCCTGCTCTTTGTTGCCTTAGTTAAAATGATGCTCCGACAATGTTCTATCCACACAAAATTTCATATTAACTGATTTTAAGGAAAACTATCATCACAGCAACATTTCTAGATATTGAAAATGACGTTAAAAACTGCTTTTCAAAATTTGGGAAACATGTCCCTCCTGTTCTCCGCCGCTTCAGTTGAACAAAATGCCTTCAGAAGCTATCAAAAACCTTCAATTATTTCAGTCACATTTCTAAACAATTAAGCAGGTGAAGGCAGGCAGGCAGGCATGTAACCTATTTTGTAGCAGTAGGTTTGTGAAAGAAATGCGGAAGGTAATTCAAGGTCAGCCTGTAAGAGCTGTAGGTTTATTCATCGTGTGGAAGCCCGGTGGCAATAACGGTCGTGGCCCAACGAGTAATCAGTAGTGAGGGCAACAAGTATTTCCAGGATAAATTACCGTTCGGGCGTCTGGCTATCTGGGACGGTCAGGTTCGCGTCGAACTGCAAATGAGCATTAGTTTGGGCTGTGTTCACAATTTCGTAATTTATGTTGCTCAGTCCGCCAAACAATAAAATGTTTAAGGCCGTTGATATAAAAGTGACTTAACAACTTCTTGAACTTTTCTGAAGTTCCTGGAACCAAGAACTTTGCATTTACAAGCAAATCTTCTTGGTCATGAAGGGAAAGGAATCATAAGACCCTGGAAAAGCTCTGATCGAAAACGCATTTGCTTAACAAGTTAAAGCCAGCTCAAACCATCGGAACCTTTGATAAAGTATCGATTATTTAAAAATGTCTGTTTCCTGGAATCAAGAACACTGTTCTCACAAGCAATGTTTTCAGTCATAAAGGGTGAAGGAATCAGAAGCACTCTTCTCACCACTTAAAAATGTGCAATTTGCTAAACACTGTCAGGTAGTATAAAGC